ATAGTATTGTTTCACACATAGGGATCCATGCCAATAGATAAAACAAACATGGAATATACAGAGATGAGTCATGGGCGTGTTGTGTTTTCCTGACATGGGAACATTTGATCTTTATGCCATCTTGTGGCCGAGACAAGGAAAGACAAGATCTTGTGACAAGGATAATTGTATTTCGAAATCCTACAGATCTTTTTAATTTTTATTTTTATTAATCTGGTAAAATCATTCAGCACCCACCTGATTCGGCATCTAAGATGTGCCATCGAAAGAATACACTGAATTTCAAAGCAGGTTTGCATCCCTGCTCCACTTAAAAAGCACCAGCTTGCAGTTACACAACTTGGGACACATCAGGTTCACTCTCTGGATTGACCTTAACAACGCGTACACACAAAACACCTCAAATCTGTGTTTGACAAATTAAAGCTGTCATGCTTCTGCATTTTACTTGAATGCATATTGATGATAATTTGCATTTGACAATTTTCTTCATCCCCTTTGTTGAAGTGTAAATGTGGCAAAATATCCCATGATTTGCCTGATTGTACTTTGAGTGTATGATCTGTGTTCCCACGAAGCAACGAGTCTTACACTCACGCGTGTATTTTATGAGCGAGAACGCGTCTGAGTCAAAAAATGAGCAGGAGGCGTCCGCAGGCGTCGGTGCACCAGTCCGGCTCCGCCTGCAGGACCTGGCTGTCAGGTAGATGAGGTGGTGAAAGGATGGAGGGATAACACAGGGTGACAGACTGAGAGGGGCTGGACCCCCCCGGAGCTTCCCTCATAGTTTCACAACAAACAAAATCCACGTGCTACTTATTCTGTGAACGAACGAGAACAACGATCAAGACGTGATTCCTCGTAAACCCTATTCGATGTTAACACCTGCAGTCATATATTTGTACACGATAATACTCGACCAAATTACAATAACTACACTTTTCAGACATCCAGGAATTAGTATATGAAATATTCATTTCAAATACGGAGCGGCAGTTAAAGTGTCCCCGCCTGAGAGGAAGGAACTGTCCCTGCTTCATTGTGAGGACTCCTCTATTTTCCACACAAGCACCCTCTTCAACCCAGGATTCCCTTGCTGGGCTGAGTCACACCTTCACTGGATAATTTCAGGTAATGGCATGTCTTTCTAAATGCCATACCAGGACTTCTGCCCGAGTGAACATCTCAGAGGAGCTCCTCTCCATGTTGCCTTCGCTCACTTTTTAATGGGTTTGTGTTTGTCATTTCAGTGCCCACAATAAACCACGACACGTAACAGTAAAGAGGAAAATCTGCAGGTGCGTTGACTCATTAATGGGAGTTTATCTTGTCACATTTCAACAGAAAATCCAAACAGCGCCAAAGGGGAAAGTTACATTTACTAAGTTGTGATTTGGAGATGAGAGGAATTTACAAAAACCAACCAAACTAAACTAAATAAAAGTCAACGTTTTAGAAATAACGTCTGTAATGTCCACGTCTGTTTGTCTGTCAACGGAGCACATGCACATGTCCATGTGTGATTAGACCCGACGTGCTCTAACAGGCACCAGCGCGTGCAATAGAGCCTCCTGTCAGTCTGATGTTCTTCTGCCCTTATGTGGCAATGCAGATTGACAGGGTTGTATATTAGAGAAGGCCAGTGCTATATGGTTTGTTGTGATGTTGTTATGCTTTTGACCCTCAGGGGCCACCACACCTCGGCTGAGCAACCGCAGCCTTCCCCCCCCCAGCTGATTGTTTACCCCCCATCCTGGCATCTATATCTATCTATCTATCTATCTATCTATCTATATACACTGTAACAAATTGCTGTAAATTTGCGGTGCATTTCTAACGATATCTTACAGTATGTCATAATAACTGTAACATACAGTTAAATTTCCATCCCTTGCTTGTAAAATTAACGGCCAATGTCATGAATAAACTGTTAAAGCTGTCAATTTACAATAATAGCAGACTACCGTAATTCAACTGCATGTTACATATATTTTATGAAGTGGTGGAAATACACATACAAGTGCAGTGAATCACAATCCATCTACATCTGTTGTAGGTTAATGAATGGAATCCCATGTCAGCCACTGAAAAACAGGTCCTGTAAGTCACCATAATGAGATGGTATCTCATGAGATACGATGATGACTTTGACTTGCAGGACATTACTATACATGCAGCTGTCACTTTTATCCAAAACGCCCATGGTTTGACATAATTGTATGTGGAGTAATTGGGGGTTAGGGGTCTTGCTCAGGGACACTTCGACTTGGCACAGGATTCGAACCGCTGACCTTGCACTGCACAACACACCCTCCCTATCCCTTGCACCGCCTTTCCCATCATTTCAGTGGCCAGAATGTAAACATTATAAATATTTGTATTATTCAAAGTGTTCATTGCCTAATAGTCATTTGAGTGTTAATCGTGACCGACTGCTCCTGAACGTGACGTCAGACTCGTAATCTCAGTTCATACAGAACACCTGAGCAGTTCAACATCGGAGGAGTTTCTCATTGCCTCGTCTCTGCGAGTAACGTTGGTAAGTGTTATTTGCCTAGCATGATTAACATTCTCTTTCATTCTCTTTCCTTACATCTTGTTGTCTTCCTCATCTTTGTAATTTTAATATTTTACCATTGACAGTGTTTCTAAATATTTTATTTTGGTTTGTTTTACAGAGGCACTGGATTAAGGGCGCCAGCCGTTTGCTGCGGTCAATTGAAAGTGTTCCATCGCGTATTGTTGAAGTTAGTTTACCTTGTTCCTAATAATTTTATGATTCATTTTTTTATTATTGTATACATTATTATATTTTATGTTTTATTCTTGGTTACAAATATCTAACATTTTTGTCTTAAAGGCATCTAATAAACTCCAACCACTATGACCGAAATGAGTTTGGTTGTCTTTCTTTAATTTGTGGGGAATTAAATGCAAAAGTATACGGTTATAGGTAAACGGTAACATTCTGGTATTTATAACACAAAAACAGTAATCGTAGGGTAACACTGTAACTGTAATCCAATATACGACAACATACCATATATTACGGTAGGGCACTGTAAATAAAACAGTAAATTACCAGCGTCGACTGCCAGTAAATTGCAGTTAATTCACAGTAAAATTGGTTCAAGTTTACGGTAACATACGGTAATCCATTTTACGGTAACATAGTGTAAAAACCATTTACGGTATTATACCGTAAAATAATGGTAAATTCCTGATCTATCTATCTACTGTATCTATCTGCTGTATGTATGTATCTATCTATCTACTGTATCTATCTATCTGCTGCATCTATCTATCTATCTACTGTATCTATCTGCTGTATGTATGTATCTATCTATCTACTGTATCTATCTATCTACTGCATCTATCTATCTATCTACTGTATCTATCTGCTGTATCTATCTATGGATCTATCTGCTGTATCTATCGCTCTATCTGCTTTGCAGGCTCTGCTTTTGCAACTCCATCGATCAACAATAGGGTATAGAATTACAGTATTAACAGCTTTTTTCCATTTGCCAGCTTCAGGTTGATGTTGAGACCAGGTCCGTCACCACTTGGCTTTTATAATAAGGGACAGTTTTACGATGGCCCCGGATCCTCCCATCTATTTGTCATATCAATTTCACAAAGTAAATTCATTCATTGGGTGCACTTTCTCTCCTGCGTGACTGAATATCCAGTTCGCGCCCTTTTCAGTGCTCAGCGCTAAAAGCTGTGAATTTGATTACAACGTATTATTATCAGGTTTTTCCTAATGAGTGCAGGTAAACTGCTGGGATTCTCTTCAGCTGTATTCCCCAAACTATATTAACATGGAATGAGGAAGCCAGGATGGCTCAAGGTGCATCTCACATCTCTAGGTATCAAACTTAATGGCTGCCGTCTTTCAGAAAAACAGGACCTTGACCTTTTGTTTAACATCTTTACTAAATTACTAACATGCTTTGTCTCCATTTTGTGAATGAGAACTTTGTAAACAAAAATAATCTCCGAACAATTTATTAATTGTTACAAAAGATTTGGATTTCTTATTCATTCAAGCTAATTGCAGGTGTTTTAGCTCTCATATGCAAATGAGGAGGTTGCCTACAACTTTCGCAATAACATATTTTTCAGTTCAAAACTGATGAGTTGATTCTGCGTTAAGTTGTCACATTATTCTCAATTTCTTTCATTCAGCATTCAGCTGCACAAAACATCAACATACAATCTGTGTAAGAAGCATTTTACCGTTGACTCACAGACTCTGACAAAACAACTTTTTATCTTGGGGGCATCGGCCAATTGACACAATATTTTGGCTTTTGTAGACATGCAAAAGAGCATTAAAACTGTCCCATGAAACAACAATGAGAATGTTTCGACTTGAAGCGATTGAGAAAAACGGTATTACATGTTTTACTATAAGCTAACAATTGTATTGCCTGGCAGCATGTAGAAACCTTTGACCGAGCATCGGTCACTGTTTTTCATATATTGTTGGAATTTTATAATTCAAATTGACACAAAAATATTTAATTTATCAGTTAAATGACCCATGTCACAGAAAATGATGTATTAAAATGAGCTAAAAAGGCACATTGAGTGGCCGAAGTCCTACATGTTGACTTCATGAAATCCATCTTGTTGACCAGCAACAACAACAACACTAAGTCAGCTGGACCTTTTTTCTTTTAGTGGCTCCAGTGTGTTCAAGGCTGCCGTCGGTAAAAAAAAAAAACACCTTGCATGACATGATCCGTCTCCACGATCAGGTACATCAAGTGTTGCCCGCAGCTCCATCAACTCCTCCCTCCTCGCCCGTCGTAGTCGCACACGGAGACAGACACCGCGCTCTGCACGCAGCTGCTCCTCTGGCTGACTTTTCACAGTCCGACGGCCCGACAGAACTCAGCAGTCATGGCCGGCAGTCTGACCCGCCAAGGCTCCCCCAAAGCCGGCTACAGCGCCAACAACGCGGCCCCGGCGCCGGTGGTCACGCAAACGGAGTCCAGGGACAAATGGAGCAAAAAAATGGATTTTCTCTTGTCTGTTATCGGTTTCGCAGTGGACCTGGGAAATGTTTGGAGATTTCCCTACGTGTGTTATCAAAACGGGGGCGGTAAGTGGTTGAGGCATTTTTGCATTTTATTAGTTTAGGATTCGTGTTATTCGAAAATCTAGTGTAATAAACCTGTTGGTAAAGACTTCTTTATGTTCTTGTTGAATCCTCGCACGCAGAAACTCTCCATGGTGCTGAAGCACGAATCAAAATATCACTGTAAACTCCATAAAAAAGTTTTTACGCATTTCCTACGAAATTGCTCGTGTCTACTTTTCTTTAATCACCTTTTATCAATATTAAAAACAGCAGCTTCACAAAATCAAGCGACTCAAGCAGAACAATTGAGTGAATCGTTTTTCTTTTTTTCTTCTTCACAGATTGCTGTGCGTGCAGGTTGTGTTTTAGTTAATAATTAGGTGATATTTTTATTTATCAGCAATTAAGGGTTGCATTGCAACAATAGTTAATGAAAATACTGAATAGAGCCAAGACAATGTAAATTATTTAAAAAACGCATTTAAGCAAAGTTTGTGACTTCATTTTTGTGAATATATATAGAAAAAAAAGGGTATTGTCATAGTTACGCTGGGGTCTTAATCATGGTTGGATCAAACAAAGATCCCCTCCAGAGCTGAAATAGTACACTGTATAGAAAACAATTAGCATAATAGCAAAAAAGCAAACGTAAAAATATGAGCCAAATACGAAGTCTCATTTTCAGATGTGTTTTCATATTTAATTTCTAATTTAGGATTCCAGCCCTCTTAAGTCATCGTGGTTTATGAACGTGCTCACTTTCTGACGTTACCTTTGTGTGTGAAAGCCTCATGCATCTCTGTGCAGGTGCTTTCCTTATTCCCTACATTTTGATGGCCATCTTTGGTGGCGTGCCGCTCTTCTACATGGAGTTGGCTCTGGGACAGTTCCACAGAACCGGAGCCATATCCATATGGAAACACATTTGCCCCATTTTCAAAGGTAAGGTATCACAGATGTTCAGTTAATCCAGAGAGCCGGTAAATCGTTACGGAGACATTTCACGGGTGTGTTTCCCTCCTCTCTCATCTCCCTGTGCTGTTGCAGGTATAGGATATAGCATTTGTATCATCGCCCTGTATGTGTCCTTCTACTACAACACCATCATCGCCTGGGCCCTTTTCTATTTCTACTCCTCCTTCTCCACCATCCTTCCTTGGACTAACTGTGACAATGTGTGGAACACCCCCGACTGCACCAACTATTTTGGCGTTGACAACGTCACCTGGACGAATTCCTCCAGGTCTCCGGCTGAGGAATTTTACACGTAAGTGCATGTAAGTGTGCGTTACAGAGACCGCGTGTTAAAATAGCTTTATGGTCATGCTCTACGCCGCTATTGTTGGCTAGACATTTTGTACGGGAAATGTGGTCCTGAATGCTGAAACTGCGATGACGTGCGCGTTGTGTCATTACAGGAGGAATGTTCTTGAAATCCACAAGTCATCGGGGCTGAAGAACGTTGGTGGTGTTCGCTGGCAGTTGATGCTTTGCCTTTTTCTCATCTTCACCATCGTGTACTTCAGCCTTTGGAAGGGCGTGAAGACTTCAGGGAAGGTAACACAATGCATTCGCTTTCAGCGACGCAATAACGCAGAAGACTAGTGTGTGTATCCTGCATCACTGTGATCTCTGTTTGTCATCACCAGGTAGTGTGGGTCACAGCCACCTTCCCATACATTGTGCTTTTCATCCTGCTAATTCGAGGCGCCACTCTGCCGGGGGCCTGGAGAGGAGTCGTGTTTTACCTGAAGCCCCAGTGGGGGAAGCTGCTGGAGACCAGTGTGAGTTGAAAAAAGTTGGTCGGTCCCCTGTAAGAAAATCGTGGTCATCGTGTACTTAATATATCTGACTTTCCCGAGAAGTTAATATTTAAGAGAAACATAATTTCAATTATACAAACATTTCTTTTTATAACTTGCCAAAAGCATGGAAAGTAGTAGTTTATTATATAGCTGCACTACAAGTTCTAGTCCCTGGAGAATCTGCCAATATGTTTTATGGATCTGTGAAACATCCTCATTTTCCTCTGCAGCCCGCTGTGGTTGTTTGCTAAACATGTGTGAGTGCTTTGGTTGGAAGGGAATATGGATGAGACGAAATGAGATGCATAAATAAGCCACAGAGCAGGATAATAAGATGCATAATTGGTTTAGATTTGTTGGCTATTAACAAAGGCCTCTCTTTCTGTCTCACTCGCCGATATCCAACGCTTCCCTCTTCTTTTTAAAGCCGAACGCCTGCTGCTCTTCAGATGTCCCTGCGTACAGCTGTGCTACAACTAGATTTTTATATGACTATATCAACACCTCTCTTCTGCTTAGTAAATTATGCTGCGGTATCACAACTATAAAAATAAAAACACTTGGGGCCCGACAGGAAAGACTGGTGCTAATAAATACTGAATTTTCATGCTATTAAATGTCCATATCACCCCAAAGCACCCCAGTATGTTAACAGTATGTAAGTGCAATGTCTCCTTCTGTCACTCTGACTGTCTAATAATATAGGTGTGGGTGGACGCTGCCGCTCAGATTTTCTTCTCCCTGGGACCGGGGTTTGGGGTGCTCCTGGCTCTCTCCAGCTACAACCCTTTCACAAATAACTGCTATCGGTAAGAGCTGAGTCATTTGAACCTACATTTGTGGAAATAAAGATTGCAGTTTGAGGCATTTCGTGCACATTATGAGGACAGGAGTCCTGGAGAAGCTGTGGGATTTATTGCTCATGCATTATGTGGTCAATACAATGCCAAAGGAAGGAGCGGGGCATTCGTTTTAAATGTGCTTTAACGGTCATTAAACCAAAGAACAGGCTCAATTCTTTGTAAGACACCATTGAGTTAAAGAATAATTAAAGCATTGTTTTCCTGAACCAGCTTTAATTTCTTCTTCAACAGTGACGCCATTGTGACCAGTTTGGTGAACTGTCTGACCAGCTTCGTGTCCGGGTTTGTGATCTTCACGGTGTTGGGCTACATGGCAGAGATCAGGAAAGTGGAGGTTGAGGATGTAGCAAAAGACAAAGGTCAGCAAATTAGTTTTTGTATTTAATACTTTGAACTAATTAAAGAAATATAAAATTCAGTAATAAATCTAACATGGATGATTTCATGTTCACTTCTTTCATGCTTTCAGGACCGAGTTTACTTTTTATCACTTACCCAGAAGCCATTGCAAACATGATGGGCTCAACTTTTTTTGCAATCATCTTTTTTGTGATGATGATCATGCTGGGACTGGACAGCACGGTATGAACTGTGATGTGCATGCTGGTGCTCAGCTGCTGCAGTGATTTAAGTTACTCCCATTGACTGTTTGGATGGTTCATGCAGATTGAAATATCCAGAAGGTACAATATAACAACAACAACAACAACGTTATTGCGTTTCAGTTTGGTGGGCTGGAGGCCATCATCACGGCTGTGCTGGATGAATACCCGGAGCAGTTAGGCCACAGACGTGAACTCTTTGTTCTGGGGTTGGTAGTTGTCTGCTTTCTGGGCTCTCTAAGTACCCTAACAAATGTAAGTTCTTCAAATGCTATTACGTGTGCATCCCAATTACCTTCAATCACATTTGTTGCAAGGTTTCGGTTATTTTGGACAACTTGTAGTGAATAAAAACCTGACACCTGCAGTCTAGTGATGACGTGTGTTAATACTCTGAGTGGATGTCATTGACAGGGTGGTGCCTATGTGGTAAAGCTGCTGGAGGAATTTGGAGTAGGCAGTTCCATTATAGCTGTGGGTTTCCTTGAGGCCATCGCAGTTTCCTGGTTCTATGGTAAACAAGACATTGTAATCAACTGACCTTGATCGTCAGCGTCTTGTACCTGTGAATGTCAACTGGTAGCCCTTGATGATCAAATCTCATGACAAGAGTTTATTTTGTTGCTTTCAGGTATCAAAAGATTTAGCAATGATATTCAATCCATGTTGGGCAAATCTCCAGGATTATACTGGCAGGTGTGCTGGGTTGCCATCAGTCCTGCATTTTTAGCGGTGAGACTTTAAATATTGTGCTCCAATTTACTTCCTCCCTCCAACGTGCTCAATAACATTGCAGAAAGATATTAAACTACAATTAGTTTAATATTCTTCTGTTGACATGTTGAATGATTACGCTGTTGAGACTTCCTTTATCTGTTTTATATAACAAAAGTCATATTTACATATGGTAATTGAATATGGAAATGTTATGTGCTCCTCTCAGTATATCATCGTGAGCTCCCTGCTGAAAGGGCCGCCTCTAACGCTGTTTGACTACAAGTACCCCGACTGGAGCATCACGGTGGGATACATCATCGGCTTATCATCCTTCATTTGGATCCCCATTTACATGGTCTACAAGCTGGTGTGGACCCCCGGATCCCTTAAACAGGTCAGTGGAACGGAGGAAAAAGAAAGTGTGCGAAATGCTTCAAAAACATGAGCTGTCTGAAATATTTCCCTTTAAATTAACTTTGAGCCGTCTGGTTTTCCAAAGCGGTTGGCGGTGTGTCTCCGACCCGAGAGGACCATACCAGACATCCACGCTGAAAGCCTCAACATGGCTACTGTGCCGTAGAAAGAAAAACACATGAAAAACACCCTCGCTCGTAGCTTCTGCTCAAAACATTTCTATTTAAGTATTTGTGACCGAACCTGAACGTCTTCTGGCACCGTGACTGTTACCTGCTGATGATGTCCGACATGTCAACCCTCACTTCACACGTTCACTCTGTAAAATGGTAAATGCTGCTGAACTTGAGATTCCAAGGGGAACTCCGGTAGTAATCAAACCGTTCTCTGTGGTCTGCGTGTCCAGATCTACAGTACGGAGCTTCACATGATGCTGTTTTCAAGTGTTCGTGCGGTTGAAGGAGTCAGCAGCAATTACGTAAACTCAAACGCCAGCTGGCTTGATCTCACAACAACAATATGCCAAGGGAAATACATCCAACTAGCTCTAGGTAACATTCAGCATATTATGTCTATTAAATGGGGCGTTTTTTCTCATTTAGTTTAATTGTTTCTGTTATTTGTGAAAGCTAGATGAAACAATGGAAACACCAGCCTTGCACATGGAGCAGCAGTGAGGTCAACACTGGGGGTTTTTTTTCACTAGAATAATCCTGGCAGAAGTGTTTTGCATGTAATTTCATGAAATAAAGAAAACTGGACGACACACTCTCAGTATGTCAGCTGATGTGTTTTACATCAAGTGTTTACAGCTCTGATGTATTGTTTTGTGGCAATTAAAAAATATATTGTATGTGGTTTGTATTGAACTTTTTTTTTTTCGCTAGACAGAGATAAGAGATTAAATTGGATCAAAGCGTAATCACGTCGGTCCCAGTAGTTTATTTAAATACAGTGCGTCTGTAGGATTTCACGCCAGCCCTTAGATATATCTGCTAAAAATGTTATGCTTTTTCTTTTTCCCTTTTCCCCTACAAGTGTTTTAAACAAGGATACCTGAGGCCCTCAGACAAAGACCATCAGTTCATTTTCAGAAGAATATCTTGTTAAACAAATCTAGTGCATTGTTGTAGTATTGGCATCAGAGAACGTATAGAACGTCCTGCCGTCCAGAACATTAAAATATGAACGTTGAGTGACACCTGTGAGTATATTTTGGTTGTTTATATTTAAAATGAACTTTTGGATCTTTATCTGATGCCTTTGTTTAACTCAAGATAGACTGTTTTGCCTTAACTATTACACTGTTTTTACACAAATTGTAAAGGTTGTATTGACATTGTGTCTCTCCAATGTTTTCACTCAAATTCAAGACTGTTAAAATGTGCTGTTTTTTTGTAGACACACAATATCATATCACTTGTGTATCAATTTATTTGAAAGCTCTTTATCCTTTATTAGTATTCAGAGAGTAACGTGAGGAGCAATTTGATGATTGTTGTGTAATTTCAGCCCTTTTCAACCTTTGTAGTGCGATGTGTATAAATTAATTATAGTATCCGTTACTTATTTGATTGTTGTGTTTCTTTTCCTTCATAGAGGTCAAACATGAAAATAAACAAACAAACCAAAAATCCCCAAATGTTGGTAAATTCCAAACATCTATATAACAACAGCGGCATTATTTGTCCTGTAAACGTGCAGCACTCCACATGAGAAATGAGTTTTTGTGAATATGGTGATCTTCATGTCTTTGTAATGGCTGTCAGCTGGTCACCTCTATTAGATATTCTAATTAACAATCTAATTTGCAACATCCAGAATCCATCGACATAGAAGGAAACACAACAGCCTCTACCTTCAAACACAGACACGCGATTACATCACGTCTTTACTTATTCAACTGATTTTTATTCCTCGGAAAACCAGGCCGATCACTTCAAGGTCGACAGGTTCGAACGTACACCAGAGTAGAAAGTGGTTTGCAACATTTGATTCCCCGTCGAGCTGCTGGTTGATGGACACGCACATCAAAGCGCTTTTGTGTCACTGCCATTGAAGTAGAGAACAGGGAAGCACAGGAGACACATAAAAGAGACCCTGCTTAATAGACGGTTTCTTCTTAACCTAAACGGAACAGCTCAACAAACCGTATTTAATAAATGACTGACTGTGAAAATGTTTACGGTGCATCCATCCCCCAAAAAGTGGAATTACAGCTTTCATGCAGTTTAGTCTATAGGACAAAGCCTTCATAACTGCAAGAAGAACATCATATATCACATCATACATCATATATCCAATATAAAATACATATATATATGTGTGTGTGTCTGTTTATATAAAATGACATTAGTGTAGTAGAAATAGATAATCATGACTTGCTATAGTATAAACTGGAGGTTTTGGAGACCCACCAAACCTGCATTAAACTGTGAAACAGATGAGCACATACACACAGAGCGATGAAAGTTACATTTGGTTTTAAATGAGCTTTTTTTGTTCCTATTATCAACCATAATTATTATTATTATTACTGTATCATTTACAGTGCTGAAACGGTTTTGTTAATAAAAAGCAGCAATCTTTTGAGGGCGTATGTATCCCATCAATGCTTCACTGTTGCATTAAGAAAACTGTTTTAATTTACTTTAAATGCCCTCGGATATCATATTAAAACAGGATGTTTGAGTTCATGCTTCAATGAAATGTTTTCTTGTTTTGATTAATTTATTGAGGAAGCCTCTCTTTTTGATTTCAGGCCACCGTGAGTGAAATCTCCTAACATTCATTAAGCTTCTGTGGCATATAATTAAGAGCCAGGTTGGCCACGGTGTGCGCTCTTACGCTCTACAGGGGATGAAGGTAAAGGCCACATCAGTCATACTTAGTAACTATGTAAGGATATAACCGCAAGGAGCTTAACCTTTATATCAATTCTTCATTGCTCTTTGACATTTCAGAAATGGGGAAATGTGATGGGCCCTCGCACTTAATTGTTAACAGAAAGGGGAGTGATTAAAATCACTTTGTATTTTTATAAACAACTAACAAGCTCCTGCAGCTTTCAGTCCATTGGAACAGTCAGAGCAATGTAATAATAACCTGCTGAATATATTAATCAATAGTTGGACATAGACAGGCAGCCTTTGAGACGTCAACTTGAGCTCTGTCAAAATGGTATTGTCATTTTGTGCCATTTATAGAATTAAACATTGATTGACAACGTCATCTGACGGTGGATCAATTAGATATTACATGTGCAGATGTTAGTTAATATTGTCAATAGGGTGACAGTTAACAATTGTTTTCATATATTGTTTAATCTGCCCATTGTTTGCTTGATTCATTTAGCCTAGTGATTTGGTTAATAAAACAATTTTCTAACTATTAAAATACAATTTTCCGGAGACCATCTTTTTGTCCTACTAACAGTCCCAGGCGTCTATTATAGATATAACCAAGAAATGATCACATTTCAGAAATCAGAACCCAGGATTATTTGTGCACTACTCACCTGCTCTCCTTTCCTCCCTAGCTGAGCATTATTACCGGTTCACTTCCGATGGTCTCAGCAACATTGTCTTTGAGTCCTGTGCAATAGTTACATCATGTTTCTGTTGAATATGACTTTGCCTTTTTAATTCAAAATTATATTATTTATTAAGAACATTCCCAATCAGTTTTTATTCAGCCTAATATTATATCCACGCTGAATGGTAAACAAAGTGTCCTCCAAAAACTATTCAGTTGTCAATTAACTTCCTTCCCATCGAGAAATCGACCATTATTCGATCAGCTCTGAGAGTGAATTCAATAACGCAACGGCTTTAGGACCCAGAAACTACAGCGGAAGAAGAACCACGTCACCATCACCACCTGTGTCGTCATCCTCACCATCAGCCTCCAGCCTCCATCCTCCCCCGCTATGGTGCTGCATCTCATCCCGCAAACACTAATAATGTGTCTCGGTGCGCTCGTGAACGGACAACCGGAGGACTCCAACCGGACCGAGAGACCGTACGTTGTTCTGCTCAAGCAGAATTTAGGTGAGACTCGATGCGACAACGTAGAGACCGACGCCAGTGACGTGGACACACCGCCTCGCGTGAGGTGTCCGTGCACTTCAAATGTGCTTTATGTCGTTAGTGGCCAGAGGCTTTAACGCAATGCTGCCAGTTAATCGATCACTTTGATGTCACGTGACCGTTGTTCCCGCTGCTCACACAGCCGCGCTGGGGAGCGTCCTCGCGGTGCTGCTGGTGCTGATGGTCGTCATGGCCGTCTGCGTCTACAAACCGCTGTCCCGTCGGTGAGACTGGTCGGACACCTGGAGGAGGTAAAAGCAGCAAGAGAGAGCAGCTGACCCGGGACGGGGGCACAACCCCTCCCCGAGGGGACCGTGAACCTCGAGCCGGGCTGCGCAGTCACAGCCGCCCGAAGCGGGAGCGCCCGGACCGCACCGAGACTCACCGATGGGCTTGGAAGCAGCGTGTTATTTAAGATGTGTTAAGATGTGTCGATTGCCTTGTTTGATGTGCTATCTTTTATTCATGTAGAAGGTATATTTGTAAAGGAATGGATATGGGATTGATGGAAATGATCTGCCAATTTTACATGAATCGAGGCGGTTTGGTCATTTTATATAGTATTTATTTGGTGCTGTACTGCAAAGTATTATTATTTAAAAGCCTGGAGTTTTGCAAACGTTATTAAATTTACAGTAATCATGGGAGTGCTCCTTGCTTGAATACATTAATCCACTTTTATTGTTTATTTCTACACTTCCCTGAAATCTACAAAGTGGTTAGGTGAATGAAAACAAAAACAGATATAAAACAAATATCCAGATATTAATTTACAAATCATGAAATTAAAGCTGACTCTCAATCACACGCAAAACTCAATTGTTTCATTGGTAGGAACATATTTAGTCAAAATTATGATGACCAACACCTAACTATTCATGATAGAAAAGCGAATGTTTGTCTTTGTTTCCAGCGTTTCTTTGTAAACAAAGAAAATAAACAGAGTCTACTATAGTTGTCATGGAAATAAAGTGCTTTTATTTTAGAACATTTTCGTAAAATTTAAACATAGAAAAAAAAGATTCAGCTGGAACGTTGCTATAACAAAGACCTGCCTTAAATTAACCAAAGCTAGCGTTCTTTTTAAAGTTGACGGTTCATCGATTTCGCAAAACTCATTTTGATAATTAGTTGTTCAGCTGTCAGACGCAGCTGCACACAGCGTTTGGTGAGTGGTTGGTTGTCAGTGAAAGCATCTATAGTGGTTAGTGCATGTCACTCAGCATGGTGCCACTGAAACATATTCACCTGTTTTTGAAGTTACAAAATTTTAAAAGAGGAAAATTTGTTCAAAAGGTTTAGTGGCACTACATAAAATCGTCATCTACTCCTGCTGCCACCGAGCGTCTTCAGATCAAAGCTATCCCTTGGCACATGCTGAAGAAACGAATCCTAAATACGGCGGACGTGCCCGACCTGTGCGGTCTTTTCTTCTGCTCGGAGGTCAAGAGTTGTTTGTGGCTACAAAAAGATAATAGATTGCCTGTAAAAATGGGAGTAATCTCTGAGCATTGGCTGTGTGATCGCTTTTAAAATGCATGACAGCTACAAACAAAAGACAAACTGTCCTCTGCAATTATGTTGTTTCACAATGAAATCGGAGAAAATATTCAATGAAAATCAGGCCGGGAAAGCAAAACCCCCACCCTTGATGCAACAAAGATATACCGTTATAATAAAGTTTCCCTCACAGCAGCACGCCTCCGTTTACCCTTCTGTAGAGCGTACATTCACCACGTACAAGAACATGCATTACCGTATGCACCTTTGAGTCAATGAACTCAGCAGAGTTCAGCTTTCAGAATTCATACTAATACATGCACGAGGGATGCCATTTCACGCCAGAGAAACATTTCTGCTACATTTACAAACTTACTCCAAAGTAAAATGCGTAAAATTGGAACCCTGAGATTTCTGTTGTTCAATGAGCACACGGTTCTCAAAAAAGTGACGCAGTAGAAAGACCTCACGGTGAACACACTCACACATCCGTCTCTTTACGGCCACACTACTATCGGCCATTTATCCTGCACGGCTGCTTTACTCTTGCCATCTAAAACACCAGGGGCTGATGCAACAGGTAGCATGAAAAAAAAAAAGTTCTCTGGACGTAAAGAAACACATTTGAGTGTCAGAACATTAAGTCAACTCCAGTTGTAATTTAGAACCCTATTTACACTGATTTGGCCCCACGCTGGACAACACTGTGATTAACACACACGGGATGCTGCTGTGATTCCGATTTGAGTAGGAAAATAATCAAAAGTAGAAAGGACCTGAAATGATCTAAAACAGTTCACAAATTTGAGGTTGAGGATGGCGACACACTATGCTGATATATAAACGTATAAAGGAGTCTACTCTTACCAAAAATACCCTTTGGAAATATTGGATAGCGAGAGTCTGACAAGAATGACCTGCTACAGAAAGAAACCCGCAGTTGCATAGATGACGACAGTGGTTAGGAAGAAAAATTGAGGTGTGGATGTTTCTTCTGGATCTGGAAAAGCTGCATTATTATTATTCCCTCTTGTTAATTTTACTTCTCGGTAAGTGATAGCTGCAAGATCCTCTCCAGCTCTTCCTCCTCCTGCTTCCTCAGCCTGTCCTCTTCCTGTTGAGCGCGGGCCGAGAGCTCCATGGCCAGGCGTAGCTCTGAGTCGGGGCTTGAGGCAGAGTGGGAGCTGACGGGGCTGGGGGTGTCTTCATATTCCACTAGCACCCCCTCTGGGATACTCCTAGAACGACATTGACCGGAGAACGTGAGATCCACGTCTGCTCAGTGGCTTTAACTGACTGACACACACACACACAGGAGGTGGACTTGTAACTACGTCATTACAGACTTGTGTTCCTACCGGTCACTCTGGCTACTGGGCATCACATCAGTGAATTCCCCATCAGCATCGTCGGAAGTCCCCTCCTGAACAGACACAAACACCCACGACATTTACAGGATGCAGCAGGGAAAGGGATGAGATCCGATCTGTGTGGGTGTTTGCGTGACACCGACCTGGCCCGGGCCGGTGTGGGACTCCAGGAGGCTCTGATGGATGGCGTACTGCAGAAGCTGCTCCTCGTTGTTGGACTCGGGTGCATGTCGGCTGCCTCCTCTGCGATGATAACCGGCGGGCACCTCAAACACGGAAGGACAAACCTGAAACAGAGGCAGCGCTGGAAGCAGGGAAAAAAGAAAGAAAGAAAAAGCCATTTAGGAATGGCAGACTTGTGAGGAAATGAAACATTTAATGGTTGGACTGGCTGTGCTGCCACCTGCAGCTTCTTCCTCTTCTCCCGGGGATGTTGGTGTGGCTGCTGGTGTTGTGTTTGCCTCCTCCTCAGTACTACATTTATTGACACTACCAAATGTAATTCTGGCATTCAGCACATGGAACAGGGGAATCTCTGCAACATAGAGAATGACAACTGATAAGTTAATAAATAATAAATGGATTAAAAGGAGCGGAAGTGGGGGGCGGGGGGACTAGGAGGTTATCTTTACGTGCTTCTTGATAATATCAAATTTCACGCACCTAGTTTAACAGGAAATCCAGGAGGAAATTTGAGGGTTACAAAGTCCCGTAGACGTGCAAAATGGGAACTGGTCCGAGCCATGAGGTCGATGATGGGAGTTACTTGCTCCACCAGAGACAGAGGATGATCCTCGCTCATCCACAACGTACCTTTGAACCTGGGTGAAAGAATATTACAAGTTAAACGCTGTTTCAATGTGCACATGAATTAGTTAATAGATCAAAAATAAACGTACAGCAGTGATAAATAAGACACAATGTTTTACGTTTTCTTACTTCTGTGTTCGAATGCTCAGCTCAATGGGTCGACCGATGTCTCTGTTCCCCAGTTCAAAGTCTGGATCAAAGTATTCCTCCGGAGTGATGGCGGTGGGATTGGTGGCGGTTGCATACTCGAGAGTCAGGTCCTATAAAGTTCAGCACTCGTATCAAATCAGTAACCAGGTAGGAATAAAACAAAGGACTTTGTTGCATTTACTAAATGAGAGTCTTACCCCTTGTGCACTTATGTGCTGCTCCACAGTCCCGAGCAGAGACTCCAAGACGTTCCTTTCACCTTTGAACAAATAGTTGGAATTCTTAACTCCAATCATAGGTTTTATTTAGTTTTTCATGTAGAATATTTACCACTTACTTTTTATCCTGGCTTTCTCCTCGTCCGTAAGATGCTCTGTCCTCGTCCTGATTACCACATTTACATTGTTCACACTGAAAACCTGAGGAAACAACCAGAATTATAACTATTACAAGTGTGCCCAACTGTGTAAAGTGGCACTAATATTTTGTTGTAATGAAAAAGAACGAAAACGGTTGAACTCCTGTTAACCTTTGCTTCAAATCCATTGACCATCTCAGTTTTGTCAGCTCTCCAGCCCCAAATCCCAGACTTGTTCCTGTGAGATAAAAACAAAACACAAATCTACCGTCATGTCCTTCAGTTTGGAACAACTTCCCCACCACAGACAATGCAAACACAAGCCAAGTTTAGCTTGTAATTACATCATTTCCAGTGCTGTGGAAATATCTTAAACACAGCAGCGCAAAATGATAGTTATAAGCTAGGTGGTTTTACTGTTCCCACAGTAATGTGTCTCAGCTAGGAATGATATGAAGTAAGAAAATTCCATGAGGCGCCAACATTTATTAAACAAATGTCACTCTGGAGTATCTTCTTGGCTGGTGAAATAGAAAGATATGACTCTTGCCTTTCAAAATCAATGTCCTTGGTGTCCAAGTAGGTGTTGACAATAGAAGTGGTCAACCGTTTGGCCACTTCCTGCTCCGCTGGCTGCATCGACTCTAACGTGACATGCTCGATTTCTTGAGATATGTTGTAGCGTTCCGTTTCCACTACTTCATCGTCATGGTTCACCTCTATTAACTCTGCACACGAATCTGCACCAATACAGGAAGGGGTTTACTTCTATTACTAGAACAGAGTAAATGAAAGAGAGAACACTTTGTGTTTGAGAGTGGAAGCGCACGCACGCGCACACACACCCACACACACACACACACCCTCTCCTCTGAAGATGTAGCTTCTGCGCCCTCTGATCCAAGTCATGTTTTCAAAGCCAAGAAGAGTGGCATCAACTCGCAGGCTGGCGCCGCTTTTCCAAATGCGGCAAACATCACTTGGACAAACCCGGGACAGAAGAGGGACTGTGAAGCAACAGCATATAAATGTTCCACACATGAAATACAACGTCACTCATATTCAAACCAAAGCAAACACCAAAAAGGCAGGTATGCAGTTGTTATGCCAACTGCCGCACTAGGTAAGGATATTTAATTGCAGGCTACAACATTACGTAACGTTGATAACAAGCATGTTTGCACTACGTAAACAGGCTACTTTGCACACACATTCCACTTTACTTTCAGGATTTACGTCTTTGCATACGAAAGCACTTACTCCAACTGGTGAATTCCCACTTCATTTCCATGTAGAAGTCTGGAGACTATGGAAGAGAGATAGACAGGACGATTATATCCTTTGCCAGTAATTGTTTCCAGGCATTTGTACAGATGGATGTCGAGACAATGGGGGAAAAAACGTAGTAAAACCTCTCGGATCTTTGACAGCAGCTCAGGCACTCCCCCCAGAGCAGTGGAGGCTTTGAGGTAGTCTCGGCGTTGAAGCACCAACTGAACCATCTCTGGATCTCCAGTGCTGACGGCCTCCTGCAGCACTACACATAGATGTACAATTATGAGCTAACAAACCACTAAAACCTCTCAAGCACGTAATCTGTTATTCCGTGTTGTTATTTTAGAGCAGCCACCATCCATTAGAAAACCTCAACAATGACGATGCTAACCAACGAGAGCATGTTTCACTGCATTCAGAGGGACGGATATTTCTTAACAGAAACCACATAGGCAACAGATAGCATGCAGGTTACCGTGAAACAACCCACAAATTCCCAAAAGGTATTTCCAAGACAAGAGAAAGAAATATTCACAGCACCGCAGCGTTGTGTACTTGTTATGCAGCCATTTGGAAAACTAACCTGTCCAGTTCATGCAGTTCTCTTTAGTAACTTCAGCACCGTGTCTCAGAAGCACTCGGACCGACTCCAGGTGGCCCAGCGACACAGCCAGGTGCAGAGGGGTCCGACCTCTGGGGTCCACAGCCTCAATTTCATTCTGGAAGATAATCAGTAATACAATTCAATTCCCTAGTTGGATATGGCAGTGAGGGCTTTGTTATAACTTTAACTCATCGCTGGTAATGCTGGAGGACCGAGCGTCATGTCTGGTCCACAGATGAGTCATCGTGCTGAGGTAAAGGTGTTATTGATCAACACAATTACAGGATTATAACAACCAGGTGATAGAAATTATTTTGCAACAACTCTCCACACTGTAGATCGTGAAATCATCATAACGATACTTAAGAGATAACATGTTAAGATAAGTCAGCTGTTTGACAGGAGTGACTGACATAAACACTATTAAAATTCGAAAAATTGTAATAATAAGACATTACTTTCTGTAAATCGTCTGTTAATACAAAATCCAGCCAGATCTTAAACTGCGTTCGAGTAATCCAATGAATTGAGTTGGTTAGCCTAAATTAAAAGCTGGAAGCGGGCTTTTGTCATCTGCAACAGACTACGTGTATTTATAAGTAAACGCCCACACATCGATGGTGGACAGCCGACGTTGCGTCCTGTCGGACACTTCAAACACGGGCTGTGCGGCTCGGACACCACCGGCCTTCGCTGGGGGGCTGCGGCCGCTTTTAAAGGCTCACTCCCGGCTACCTTTAGTTAGCAAGCATCGCCGCAGAGGTTTGTAAAAGCCCCTAATCCGTCTTTTACCAACCTGCGGTAACGTTATTTGTTCCTCCAGTCTCCGGTAGTCATTCTCCCACACGGCGGAGTGAAGGGGGAACTTCGCTCGGATGTCTTCGCTAACATTAGCTGTGGACATCTTCTTCCTCACGGAGCAGCTCAGTGCAACGTTAGCCAGCTTCTAACGAGTGCAGCCATGGGGGGAAACAGGGGCAGCTACACGCTGGTTATGCCAAAACGTACGATACATATGAACCGTACGCGTCCTGTTTAACGATAACAACGTCGAGATATCGAAACCTTGAGGTCCAACTTTTCACCAAGCCTTCGTCAAAATAAAACTTTTGAACGAGGAAGTGCAAGGAACAGAAAACGTTACCCAGGAACGACAGGGGTGTCCTAAATAGAGATAGAACCGCTGTCGAATTAATGCAATATAATTAGGAATCCATACTGCGCCCTTTTTTATGTAACTTAATGTATATGTGATAACGTTTACGTATACGGCGATTTAATACACGACAGAAAGATGACTTGTAAATAAAACCGTCGCCTTTAGAAAACGCGGAATCGTCAGTTCCAGTCGGACTGAACCATTCAGCGTTGCCCGCGTGGGGGGTTTCAAACATCCGACCAAACCTATAGCGCGATTCCGTGTCCCACTTTAATACAGTCAATATCTCAAATAATGAAATTGTAACGCATTTTTTGGCTTCAAACACAAACAAAACACAAATTTTATATGTTAAGATTCAATAAATCAAATCAATACATTTGCTATGACCTATAATGTTGAATTAAAATTGACTTCACAAGTTGAAACCGTGAGACTTCACCGTAACAGCGGTGTACTAGACGTACGACCATTTAAACTATGTTAATAAAATGTTGTATAAAACAACCATTTGCAGTTTGCTCTATTAATGTATGCTCATTTGATTACTGGGTATTTAACTAAAATTACTGCAGTGATTTGTAGAGCAAAATTAATTAAGAGGTGGCCGCTGTTGGATGGGAATCCAGTATACCCATTATTAGTTGTAAAAAGTATTCGTTAGTACCGTGTCCGGGAGGTGCATGGATCAAACTCACCCAACGTTAGTCTCTTGAGGTATAACACCCCCAGTACGGTCTATCAGGGTTGTGGTCCGACGCATGCCCAGAGTAAACTCAACCAAACACGTTGATTTTTATCTTTGGGTTCAACCCTTATTGGAGCTAAAAACAAGCATAATTATGATTGGAATGTCCTCACACAAGCGAACGAGAAAAGAAACCCCGTTATACCGGGTGCGCCGCCGAGAAGTGCATTTCCTGTAAGACAAGCCTCAGGGCACATGATAGCTCCTTGCTGCGTCATGTCGCAGCTGCCGTTGGGAATGCTCTGGCTCGCGTAGCTCCGATGTGGACCAGCACTCAATCGCAAACTGCCGAACGGGCAACGGGGCTAACTAGTTAGCTCGTGTGGCGCTAAGTCAGCTAACTCGCAGACGCAGCGGCACTGGACGTTACTAACGCGGGATGACGTTACAATGGACGCAATAACGCAAACGCCAGCCCAGGCGAAACAAGGCTAGCGACAGTTAAATGAAGAAGCAAGTCGTTGTTGAGGTTGATTTTAATTAGCTGGGTCTAAGCTAACGCGGAAGGCATCCTCCGCTGAAGTCAATGGTTAACCCTTCACGTAATACTCTCCTCGTTTTAAAAGGCATTTCCCCCCAGTGAGTAAAGGATGTCCAAGCGGCTGCGAAACACTGAGCTCTGCGCCGATTGCAACGTTCCAGGTGAGCAAAACAACAACAACAACAACACGCACGCGGCGTTTAGTCGTGATCCGCGGGCGCCGCTTGCTCCATTGAGTAACGGTATTAAGCCAAACGCCCGCAATTCTAAATCAGATTACCACGGCCGTGCGCACGCTGCTTTCTTCTTCCTCCCAGTGAATTAGAAGTAAGGCAAGATGACTTTTGCCCCGTCGGGGCAACTTGTTGGTGGTGTTGACGGGTCACTGACGTTGGAATCAGAGCTGGAGCAGCTGTCGACCCTCCGTGGCTTCCTTCTGATAATCAGGCAGCCGCTTCTAATGCGCTCAAAGGGAATTGCACGGTTGTCAATCAATACGCGTGTACGAATGATGTCCGTGGCGAGTCCACCGCACATTTGAAGCGTAAACCCTTATGAAATCTTTAGATCAGCATGAATCTTCTCTGTCAGGTCTCCATGACTGCGTCTTAGGAAGTTGGTGGGTAGTGTTGTGCCTTTTGTGTGCTGCACACACAGTAGTAGTTATAGTAAAAGAGGAGCCTTATTGTCAATGTGTTATTGACTTTAACCAATTGTGTGATCTTCAAAACATGTTAACAATTTTCATTGTTAATACTGAAACATTGTTGGTAGTGGTAAATAGTATTAAGGATGAGAGCAGAATTGGTTTAAGGTTTTACACAACCAGTATCCGGCCAGTTGTATTGTGTGTACGTCCAGGAGGCCCATTTATATTGAAATCACCGTGATGTTGTTCATCAGGCACAGGAAGCAAAACAGGATGCCGAGTGAATTCACTGCGATTCACTGCGATTTGAGCAAATGTGCTTTTTAGAAACGGGCAACCAATAAACCCCCCCCCCCCCCCCCCCCACCACCACCCCCCCCCAACATGCTGCATGCTCATGACTTTCTTCTTACTTCCCCATTCAATGTTAAAGAAGATGTCAATATACAAAAAGAGTCCAAATTGTTTAGCAGCGTGACTGTAGTTTTTAGCAAATGTAACTAAGCAGATGTAGCTGGTGTGTTGTTAGAGCCGATTGTCAGCCACGGTTTAATGCACATTTGGTTCTCTTCTGAGCTTTGTGCGATTGACTACAACACAAAAGCTCATCTAATTATGTGTTGTTAATAATGTACCTTTTTTTTTTACAAAAATGGTCTTTGGCACAGAACAATTAGCTGTACTAGGTTTATCCCCACAGGACTCTTTAGTATTAAGTGTGGTTTTTAGATGTATTACCCTTCAAGCAGCTATCTTATTATATTTTTAACTGCATAAGTAAGAGTTTTGCCAGATGCACTCAGTGAGGAACTTAAAAGGAGAAGCCGGGTGCCACGACTTTGTCCTTTATTTGTGTGCTACTACCAAGCGTGAAGATCGGCCGTGACTTGTGATGCATTTCTAACTCAATTTAGATGAAACCTGAGCAAATCAAAGCAGGTAATACCATATTGTACAATTAGCTACTCCTTAAGTGGCATTCCTAATCAGTTATGGTTCATCTATTGGATCCTAATCAGTTATGGTCCATCCATTGGATGCCTGCGAGTATCCTGGGTTTGACTTTGCGGTTGTGTCCTCCCTCTCAGAACCTCGCTGGGCCTCCGTTAACAGGGGCGTGTTCATTTGCGATGAATGCTGCAGTGTTCATCGAAGTCTGGGTAGACACAGCTCCCAAGTCCGTCACCTGAAGCACACACCATGGCCTCCTACGCAATTACAGGTAAAAACCCCCCAAGAGGAAGAAGTGTATATTCCTATTCCCCTCTGTGAGGCTGCACGTCTTAATGTTTTTTCAGAATACATAATGTGTGAAAGGATGAAATGTCTCTCAAAAATTGCCTTGAGTATCAATTACTTGATATCTATTACTGCAGTTTCCAATTCCCATGTCCTATCCTTTGCTTGGGATAAATCGGTTGACAACCTCTGTATTGATTTTGTCCAAATATAGAGGACAAACAAAATACATTTTCTCCTAGATGGTTCAGACATTATACAGCAATGGCGCAAATTCAATATGGGAGCATTCTCTTCTGGACCCTGCATCGGTGATGAGTGGGAAACGCAAGGCCAACCCTCAGGACAAGCTGCAGTGAGTCACTATTGTTATAAAACATGTCAACACAGGTGTTAATTCAAGAAACCAAAAATACTGTTGAGTCTAATATGTCAATGTGCTACTGACTCACTAATTGCTCTTTCTTTTCTCTGTGTGAATGTTTCTGTCTTATGTCAAAGTCCAAACAAATCAGAGTTCATTAGGGCCAAATATCAAATGCTGGCGTTTGTCCACCGCATGCCTTGCCGGGAGGACGACAGCTCGACCGCCAAGGATTTAAGCAAGGTGGGGGGAGGTGGCTGCTCAATGGGATCAGGCTGAGAAAACCTTTTTCATTGCATCCATTACAATTGTCTGTCTGTTTCATTTTTCAGCAACTTCATTCGAGTGTACGCACTGGGAATCTGGAGACCTGTTTACGGTTGCTGTCACTGGGGGCACAAGCAAATTATTTTCACCCCGTAAGATTAATCTGCTGTAATTGAACCACCATTTCTATCTCTGCATTTCCGTTTCTGTTGACTTTTAGATCGTAATGGTTTGTCCTGTTCCCCTAAAGGAAAAAGGGAACACTCCCTTGCATGTAGCTGCCAAGGCAGGACAAGTGTCTCAGGCTGAGCTATTAACTGTTTATGGAGCAGACCCTGGAGCCCTTGACAGCAATGGCAAGACTCCCATTGATTATGCGAGGTTAGCTATTCCTAATCATTTGAAATACTCACCTAAACCAGCGAAATCCCATCCAGATGTTTTTTTTAATAATTCAAACACAGAACATTATTAATTTTTTTGAACATGTGCCTTTGCAGGGAAGCTGGCCACCAGGACCTGGCCGATCGATTGGTGGAGATTCAGTATGAACTAACCGATCGCCTGGCGTTCTACCTGTGTGGGAGAAAGCCAGGTATGCATTGAGAGATGTTTATTGAAAAAAAAGCAGAGGCAAATGATACATTCATGTTTGGATGGAGGGAAATATACATTTGCAATTAACCCTCTGCAATGAGACTGACGAAATAAATGAGACGTACGGGACTCCAAGCAGATAAAAACAACTGCTCATATTTGAATAATTTACTTACATACTTGTGTACTAAATATGATGTGAAAGGATAATGTTTCCCGTGAGTGTTGCTGAGGTAGTTGGCAGTCATCCAGAATGTACGTGTTGTTCCTTTCAGATCATAAAAACAGCCAGCACTTCATTGTTCCACAAATGGCTGACCGGTAAGAAAAGACACGCTATAAGTGTGATGGATGTTAATATTAATGGATTTGATGTGTCTAAGTGTCCTCGATTTGAGGCAGCATAGTGAGCAGTATTGGTGCTTGTTTACGGTTGTATTTTGCTCTGAGGCCTGTTCTGACACGCCGCTGAGAGCGCTGCAGCATCTACTATCAGCGCTGAAGGAAGCCGACCGTGTGAAGTAGCTGTCGTTCCACAAAAATCCCTATTTGCGGCAAATAATGTTTTCAAAACGAGCAGAACACCTACTATAAAACAAGCAAGAGTACCCTTTTCCATTTAAATGACACATTTGATCCTTTTTCACTTTGCTCTCGATGGATAAGGAACATGTAAGTGTTACTCAGAATGAAGGGGGCATCTTGTTGACCTCACCGTTCCCCAGCTTGTGTTTATGAAACTGTGCTTTGTTTGTAGCGGTTTAGATTTATCAGAACTGGCCAAAGCAGCAAAGAAGAAACTCAAGTCTGTAAGTGTGTTTGTAGAGTTTCACTGAGGTATTTTTTCTCTCCTCACTTAAGTTTAACTTAACTTGAGTGCCATTTACTTCTTTTCATTCAGCTCAGTAATCACTTATTCGAGGAGCTGGCCATGGATGTGTACGATGAGGTGGACCGGCGAGAGACCGATGCAGGTAACTTCAGTAGAAGCTCCCTTTTATCCAGAGAAAACCTTTGCACTGGCAGCTCTTCACAATGGGCCTCACTCATGAGTATCCTCTTAAGATTCTTCTTGGGTTTGTTCTAAGGAAAGGTCATAAGAAAAGTCTTGAGAAGATCCATGATCGATTCTCGCACAGAGTTATTCTTACTTGTGTGATGAATGAATCTCATTGTCGCTGTAAATTGAAGGCTTGTGCGTGTCATGTTAAGTTGTCTTTTCTTTGCATAGGTTAACACTGCTAATCCACATTAAATGGGCATAAGACTGCAGGGTTGCGTGCACACAGAAGTTGAAAGGAACAGTTGGAATAAAGTCTAAAGAGACTGGTGCACAGGACCAAAGCTTCTTTGTTCGTTGCTAAGTCTGTTATCAAGCAAATAGCAACAGTTCACAAAAATGCATTTCTGGGTGTAATAACTGATCATAATTGATGCGGGGCAGGGGGCCGGTTTGGTAATCTAAACAAATTAGTGATTGTTTTCGTTTTGTCTAAATTCTAATTGCATCCTATCAGCAATCAATGAAGAAAATTCTCTTACAAGACGTTGTTATCCGTCGCAGCACTATAGTAAAATAGTCGGGGCCCACCGGTACCAGCGTTGCAGCTGTGCTCCCCGCTCTAATCCGACGTATTCTTTGTAGTGTGTTTGGCTACACAGAACCACAGCACTCTGGTGACGGAGACGACTGTGGTGCCTTTCCTTCCTGTGAATCCGGAGTACTCGTCAACACGAAACCAGGCGAGTGCGCTTCACAAGCCCCCATGCAAATGTCGTACTGTTTCTCACTCCACACATTCCACTTCAGCTGATGTGACTTTGTTTTTCCTTATTCAGGGAAGACAGAAGCTGGCAAGATTTAATGCGCATGAATTTGCAACTCTCGTGATTGACATATTGAGTGATGCTAAGCGCAGACAGCAAGGGAATTCCATCGCCAGTCCCAAAGGTCAGCATCTTATTGTTACGTTACTCCCGAGATCTTACCGACGCCAGTGCAGCACAGACATAAAGCGCCTCTTCCAACCCCGTGTCCCCTCCTTCTAGACAACGTTGAATTCATCCTGAGGAGTGCGGGCGGCAGGCTTTGCAGTGACAGCCAGGAAAACGACCAGCCTGACTACGACAGCGTGGCGTCTGATGAGGACACCGATCACGAGCTCCCTTTGAGCCACGGAGACAGGACAAAGGTATGGAGGCACCACACAAATGTCCAAACCCTGACAGACTTTGTCTCTCACTCCCTCTCACTGTCATTATAGGTGCCTTCACCGCTTTGCTTTTAACCCCTCTGTCCAACAGAGCCAGGACTCTGAGCTCTCCGACGGGCCGATTACTATCCATGAGTACATGGAGGTGAAGACGGCGCTCTCTGCTTCTGAAGCCAAGATCCAGCACCTTTTGAAAGCCAACAACAACCTGAGCGATGAGCTGAGGCTGATGCAGAAAAAGGTACCCCCCGTGCTCCACCAATAAGATCACTAACACCGGGGGCCGGACCGAGGGGGGGCCACAGCGGTCAGCGGAGCTCTTCTCCTGCCCAGTGTGATCAAGCTGTCCCGATTGGAACGCTGTGTCGCAAGATGAGGCTGCTGCGACGCCCTGCTGGTCCGCCCTCTGTTTTGGCAGCATGTTCGATTTCGTAGCGTGATTGTAAACAGATTCTTTTTTTTTTTTTTTTTTGGTTTGTTTTTTTTAGATTTCAGAAGAAGAAATGCACCTTTTCTCTAGTTTAAAAGCGTTTTATTAGCCTTTTTAAACAAATCTGTGCTTTCTAATGGTACTAACAAGCATGTTTTAAGATAAAGCATGAAGTAATTGACAGTGTTTTTGAATCCGTTTCATAGTGACTCACTCAAATTGTATGAGTGTGCCTTGCTTCATCCCATGAACTGTGTTTTCTCTGTAAAATGTTTTTGGATGATTTTTAGCTGTTGTTTTCGGTCACAGCCTTTTGGTACAATTTATTGTTTGATTTGTTGTGCAAGAGGTCACATTTCATAGAAATATCAAACTGCTGATTCATTGACATGGCAATATTAAGTGCAATGTGCTTTCACCCAAGCAATCTGTATCCTGCTATAAGCTAAAAACCAAACTATTTTGATTAATGGATGTTTCAGAATGTGTTATAATCAACCCCTATCAGTGAGGTTTATTTTCTTATTTTAAGCCGGCTCTTTGGAAGCAGCGTGCCGATAGTTTGTCCGATTGGTCGCACACTCAAGGTCATTGTGACGCTGCAGTGGACACACAGCACTGCAGCATCCTGTGTTGTTCTTTGGTGACATGATATTAGGCCGCATATTAGATTCACTTAAATGAACACAGTCAGATGAAGATGTGGTGGAGAAAACCGGACACGTTGCTCGTCATGACATATTGTATCTTAAAACTCCAAATGGAATGGCAGCCGTTACCAAAACAGGTAATACCAAAAGCAAACTACTTCCTTTTCTGACCAGTTCACCAGGTCGTATCTCCTCATAATTCTGGAGTTAATCCATCTGCACTGTGGCTATATCTTTCACCTGAACTGCACCTGTGTTGCTTACCTGTGCAACAAGCCTTTGCTTGCTTATCACTTGCTTTGCTTTTTCTCTTTTTTTAGACAAAGAGAAAGTCCATCATATCAAAAATCAACTCCTTCCTATGATTTTTAGTAGTTTGATGGCATACACACACATACACACTTTTTTTAAAGCCATTCTCTTCTAAGCAGCTTCAGGTTTTGTACGTTGGGGAAATTTGATAAATTTCTGTGAGAGCTTTATTCAAATATTTACCATTTTTATCACAGTATTAACAAAATTCAAAAGTTATGGTATAATTTAAATGTGTGTTCCTGCTGCCAAACGAAAGCCTTGGCAGAATTAAATGACTATAAGCATGCTAACAGTATTAGACAGTCAAAGCATAAACCATAAGACTTCAGGAGCAAAAGGGCTGAACCTGAAACGCTGTGCTGTAAAGTTTGAGGAACACAGCTTGCTTTGCTGAGAGCACCTCTTGGTGTGTTGCCCACCGTCTCTTCCAGCTGCAATCTCTGCAAACCGAGAACACCTCTCTCAGGCGGCACGTCCCCACCAATATCTATCAGACCCCGAGCGGTTCAGACTACCCCGACCCCTCCAGCCCCTCGGCCCCGAAACGCCGGCAGTCCGCGCAGGCCAGTCGGCCCATGTCTATGTATGAGACCGGCTCAGGCCTGAAGCCCTATCTCCCCAAAGGGGACAGTCCCTACCCAGAGGAGGGTATCCCCACCCTGCAACCCCACCCGCCTCATGTAAGTAAGACCCGTTCCCTGCTCACCGCCGTTTCCTCTCCACTGCCCCTGTTTCCCTCCTGTCTTCACCTTCTCTGCAAACCCTTCTCTCTGCCTGCTCTTTTTTAATGGTTTCACTTGTTTGCCACTGGGTAGTTTTTTTTGCAGCTCATCAAGTCATCAAAACCACAACGTCATGCATTCACACAAGCAGTCACAGTTAGTGTCTACATCTCCATTTATCTGCTGTTTTACTGGAGAGCTGCGTGTTTGTCAGGAAAAGAAAACCATAGCTGTAACTGCAATGAGATGCTGTTATTGTGATCAACTTTGAAGGTTTGTACTGTGTTTTATGTTGATGAAACATTAAAACTGCCATACAAATAATGTTTCTGTAGTGCATGATACTTTCACAAACTCACTTCTTCTTCTACTCATCTGTTTGGATTCTCTCTCCGATTCAAGCTATTTACAGTTAAATTTAGTCTTGTGAATCATCATTTTCTGGTACTTTTCTCCTCATGGATTAACTCCCAGGCCCTTCGGTCACGATTCTTCCAGCACACAGAGCTCAGAAAGGAAGTGGTTCAGAAGGATAATCTGTAAAAGCAACAAACTAATTGTTGCATTGATTCTTTTCTTCAAGTCACCCTCAAAATAGTCCTGAATGTAATGGTCATGTTCATTTCCACAAAGCCCATTTGCTATAAATACTTTAGGATTAAGGACTGGATTGACGCGACCACATGACATGATCTAATCCCATCCACGTTTGTTCCATTTCAGTTTAGGAAATTTGATGTCCTTATAATGTGATTTGAACCCTGTCTTTAGACGGAAAGGGGCGCTTTTGTGACCACCTCTTCATCCCTCCCCTCATTTCCATCCACACTGTCTTGGTCGAAGGACGAAAGTGCTCCAAAGGTTAAGTACATCCTCACTCGGCCCACAATGTGTGGACACAGCAAATCCAATCCACTCGGAGGCATTTCCATCCCTCCCTCATCTCCCTCTGCTCTCGATGCACTGCTGCATGAGCCGCCCCTCACCAGCATCCTCCTCACAGCGCCGATAAACAACTGGAGTTGTTTGGTTTTGCGAAGGCCGAACGCTGAACGCTGAGCAAAGAGCTGTGACGCAGCACGTGCTAATTTGAATGCTTGCTTTCTCTGCTCCACCAAGCTGTGCAGCAGATGATGTTGAAAGGGATTCATTGTACAGTTGAGAATGGTGTTTATTTCATTTTTACAAAAAACTAAAATAAAGAACATAAACTGAGTAAATTTAAATTGGATAACTTTTAGGTTGTCGAACTCCTGTTTTTGATTTCAAACATTCTAACCATGAAGAGAAGTCATGTTTTAACCGTCTTCAACCAACTGCTATTTAGCACTGTGAGCTTAACGGCATGGTCTCGCTTCTTCCGTTCAACACTCAAACAACTGTCTAAGAACAAAGCTTTATCTAAACATGTACATGTGCTGGTCGCATTTCCTGAGGCGACCTTGAGTTTGCTGCATTTCATTTGCAGTTTTATTATACTTTGTTTGGATTCTTTTACATGGATTTAAAGACATGTTACAAAAGGCCCAGTGAGGCTTCGGTGTGCTTGTCTCTTGTCGCTGAGGGACACGAGGTGAGTCTGCATGAGGATGGTTGCTGTGAACGGATGAATGTGAAGCCTGTTTGGTGAAGAGATGAGGCGCTCCTCTTCTCTTACGAACTCATCTGAACCTTGACTCGCCTCAAACAGCGGCCCTCTGCACGGGGCCTCCTGACACGTTCGTTTCTAGCAACATGTTGCTATACTATAGTTTGACTGTTTTTTTAATCGCTGTTATGAATCCATCCATATTCCAACATTTTGTCACATTTGATGATCATAGTCGCTGAAGACTGAGAGGTCATGTCAGCATTGATGATTGGGTCCCAGTGATGTGAGTGAACTATGAACTCTGCCTAAAGTGTCCTACTAACCCTGTCTGGAAGGCTTTATATTGATTGTGTGCTCTTGCTGCACAGCTAGTGGCTTTATCCATCCAGTCATCTGCATCGCTTGTCCTTCTTTACATCTCAATCTGACATACAACATACGGCAACATGTACTTTTCCAACATATGTTTTTGTTCTTTGTGGAGCAGCGTTGAAAATGTGATTTCACCAGAACTGTCCCCGGTTACATCGTCGGCGGCACGGGACGTTTGGCATGAGGTATATTAGCATTTTTTTGTCTCCTCTCTGCCTCCAGGCCTCAAAGTTAGAGAAGCAAAGCAGCGTGCCGGAAAGTGACTACGACAACACATTCAATGACTTCGAGATGGATGATTCGGGGTAAGAGCATCACCCAAAACGATGGTGAAAGACCATGGGACAGTTCTTTTTAGCTAACGCGCTGTTAAGCTTTCTGTAGTAAAAGCGAAGAGGGAGTTTTCTGTCTTCTGAATGTCTCTCTGCAGTCTGAGCAGGAGAGGGAGGCTGAGGAGCAGTGGCTGGCTGGGGGAAGGCAATTCGATCCCAGAGATGGATGATCTGGTGACAGAGCCGGACCCGACGCTTCCCAGCACAGAGGATGTCATCCGCAAAACCGAGCAGATCACCAAGAATATCCAGGAGCTATTGCGGGCGGCTCAGGAGAACAAACACGACAGGTCAGAGCAGAATCACAAGAGAAAGGGATCTCTTATCGTCGTTTACTTCCCTGCTTCCATTTTAAGCACCAAGATCCTCTTACATTCATCTTTATTCTGTTATGTAAAGTGGGGTTCATCTTCAAGCATTCCCCCTTCTCGGTTGGTCCATGGTCTCTTTCCCACTTTGCTCTACTCCCCATCGGCTTTGGCTGTCATGTGCGTTCGGGGGGCGCAAAACCCCGCCCCCCCCCCCCCCCCCCATCCCTTCCCCCTCCGAGCAGACCGTGCGAAGGTGTGCGGCGGCTCAGGCACAGCCTGGGATGTTTCAGCACTCTGGTGCCCTGGGCCGAGAAGGCCCCCCCTTCCCTCCATGCGCTCAGCCTGCGGTCCCCTGACCCCGCCTCCTGGTACTCTGGCCTCTGTCCCTGCCTCCCAGGCACAGTTTTATTTCCCTCTCTCTTCACACCTGCTAACAACCCGTCTCTTTTGCTGCAATGCGTTGACCTCGAATTCGCTTCAGTTAGTTGATGCAAAGTTAAGTTGCATTGTGCAGTAACTCGCTTTTAAGTAGGTGACAGGAACTGACCTTTTTTTTTTTTTTTGGTTGATGTGGTTTCTACTGCGGAGTCGTCATTTTGTGACGCTACTTACAATGCAGATGTGTGCACGACAAAGAGCATGTTCTGTTGAAGATGATGAAGCACGGTGTGGTGAGAATGGTACAGAGACCTGCATGTAAAAGCTTTAGGTTAATTGACATGTTACTATCTTAAATCATTCTGAGATTTGTGTATGTATCTGGGTTCAATGTGTTAAACTCAATCTCTTCTCTTCCTCGCAGCTTTATACCCTGTTCAGAAAGAATATACGTGGCCGTAACAGAAATGGCGGCCCTCTTTCCCAAGGTATGGACACAAGTTAGTGGATATTTTGCCTTGAGGGAACAGATCAGTCACAATCAGGCAGCCATTTAGTTTTACACTTTAATGTCACCTAAATGTGTATGTTCTTAGTGTGTTAAGAGGAAAGCGAGCGCGGTAGACAAACCAAAGGAGGTTCTGTCCAGGTTTCAGCCGTTAGAGTTCAATTTGTTTTTTAAGGGATCCTCTCTGTACCACTATCTCTTTGCACAAATCCGTTTTACTTTAGGACAAATTATGCCCATCAACACTAAGATATTATAACGTTCCCCTGCAGAAGCCGCGCTCGGAGACTGTGAGAAGCTCTCTGCGCTTGTTGACCGCCAGTGCGTACCGGCTTCAGAGTGAGTGCAGGAAGGCGGTGCCTTCCGAGGGCTGCCCAGGGCCGGACATGCAGCTGGTCACCCAGCAGGTCATCCAATGTGCTTATGACATCGCCAAGGCAGCCAAGCAGCTTGTCACTATCACCACAAAGGAGAATACCAACTAACCCACTTACAGGGCTGTAAAGCTGTCAGCATCTCAGTTTTCCTCTTGAATATATTTTTTAATGATTTGCTTTTTTGTATTCGTGGTATATGCATGCATTGTTTTATTAATTTATGAATAAATATTTAAATCCAAGCCTGGACAAAATCTAAGTGTAAAAAGTCAGCAGCTCTACTGAGCTGTTGTAAGAGCGCAATTTCTCTTAAGATAAAATTAACTGTTGTAAATTCAAGCAGCCTGTGGACTGCGATGGTTTATACACTTAGTTGGAACTGATAATTAAACAGTTCATAATGTTAATACGTGTTATTGTCAGAAGCGATTAAGCACAGGACAGTAAATCCACATATTGGTTAATGTCATCAGTCCAAACCAGAAAGGGATGCTAAAAAGTCACACTCGAGTCACGGCTCTGCTTTTATTAAATGCGAAACTTCTTGTGGTCAAAGGATCTTCCTCATTAAAAGCAGCCTACAAGCACCATCATGCTCTAATGTTTATTCTACAAAAACAAATTGACCAATTATATGTCTGAAACTTCATTCATGCATAGATTGTAGCTGTGTTCTACTCTTCAGCAGCACCAACATGTTGTAGTATTAAGTTGAGGTAATCTGGTGTGCTTCTTCACACTGCACTGTGTTCTGCAGTGCGGTGTGCCATTGCAGTGTTGGTGATGTTCCAAGGTATTTAGTGCGAATAAGACATACTTCATGTATGTCCTCGTTTTCTGTGCTACGTTCCATTGCTGCTAGTCGTATTTAATGTGCAACAAATTGGATAGAAGTCGTGACGTCCCGAATATTTGTGCAACTCAACGTTCAAGTATTTCAGAGTTCATCATCATCTTGAGAACTGATCATGGTAATGCCACTCTGTATGTGACCGGAGTGCAGGGATCTATGTTATGCAGCTACTAGGTTGCACTTTGGAAAAGTAATTATTTTCTAAATAAACTTAATTTATAAATACAGTCTGTTTGCCAGATGTTGCATTCATTTGGTTTAATTTTGATTAAAAAAAAAACACAGAAATTGTTGGATTGAAAGTTTTATTTCATCTACAAATTCAGGATAGAAAAAAGAGAAGATTTAAAAAAGTGCAAAACAAATCCATAAATAACTTCTCTACATACAAACAACCGACGGGTAATTATTAACACGAGGACGGCACAACATGACCTCATAACCTACGTCATTGCGTGTAGGTAAGATGTGAGACTAGATGCAAAGTTTTTCACCTTATGGTCTCTTGACTGTGGCTTGCTCAGCAAGAAACAAAAAATCCCCACTTGATTTGCTACAAGGTTGAAATGCATGTTTTCATTGAATGAGAACTGAATTTTGTCCATCGGTTATTTTGAATTGCGGTAGAAAAAGATCTCTTTGTCAACAAGAGGAACAATCACAGTGGCCACTAACTGACACAGTCTACAAATGAGCTTTGTTTCAACAAACTATGGGGAAAACTTTTAAAGCTTTAAATATACATCTCACAATTTGGTTTTGGCCTCTGGCAGGTTGCTCATGTCCATGCTGATCGAGGTCTGCTGTAAATCTGAAAGGGACAGTGTCGAGATTACGTCAACATTAAAGAGTACTTTGGCACCAAAATACAACATTCAACATTCAGCTTGTCTTTCATCTTTTACCTTCTCCTGGTACCCTTTCTTGGTCATCCTCTGCATCTCCAGCCTCAGCTCCTCCTCCTGAATTTGAAGGGCCTCCCTGTCCTCCTCCTCCTCCTGCTCTAACCTGCACTGCTCCTCCCACTGATCCTGGTGCTGCTGCTCCACCTACAGTACATGTGCAGAAACACTTGTTAAAACTATTTAAATAATGGAAAGCGCACATCCCATCACGTCCTGTAGGTTATAATTCCAGTTCAATTCTCTTCTCAAATTTGCTGTCTATCAAAAACAAACTAGTGTAATAGGTGCCAACCTGAGCATTGATCTCTTGCATCCGTGCCGTCCTACGCCCCTCTTCTTGCTCCTTCTCATGCCTTCTGGTCTCCCTCTCCTGCTCCAGCTCCTGGATCAGTTGTTCTCGCCTCCTCAGTGACTCCTCCTGAGCCTCTCTGTTATTTTGCATCTTAAGCTCCAGCTGCTGCTGCCTCCCCAGGAGTACCTTTCACAACAAAGCAAAGATAGGACACCTACTATTAAATAGTCATGTCTTTTTTTAAACATTCTAATTGAGTTTCATCTCGATATTAAGACAATTCACCTCTTGCATGAGTCGTTCTCTGGCCTTCTTCTCCTTCTCCCACTGTGCTTCTCGTTTCTCCCACACACGCTGAGCTTCTTCTCTGAAATGGATACGATGCATCGTTTGGTATTTGAGGAGAAGCAGGAGTCCTTTCCTGCAGAGTTGGAGCTCGCCGAATCTTGGTGCTTACCTGTGTAGGATGTCAAACTCCGCTTCCCTCTCCTGCTCCAACCGAAGCTGCTCTTCAATCACATGTTTCATCCAGGCAGCATCGGCGATGGCCCTTTCCCTTCGTGCGGTCTCCATCTTCCTCTCCTCTTGCTGTCCTTCTAGCAAACCTGCTAAGATCTTATGGTCTGCCTCCTAGTGGCCACAGATGAATCGATCGAGGAAGGTGAAAGCCAGTCAAGTTGGATCACATATAGAAATATATACTGTAGCTGTAACAAAGTGGGAGAAGTAGACCAACCAGTTCCTCCTGCACTTGCTGGGCTCTCCTCTTCAGCTGAGCACGATATTGACGGATCAAGAAAAGCCTGGTGTGACACAAATACAGTAAACCCACTTAACTTTAAGAAATATCATAATTATTTAGTTATCTACTAAGAGCTTCCCTTACCCCATCTCAGACTTTTTTCGTCTCTCCACCACTTTTCTCCTTTCCTCTTCTATCTTCTCCAGCTGCCATTGTTTGACCAAAAGAGCTTCCTGCTCCTTCTTCAAGCGAGTGGCCTGAAAAAGAAAACATGCTTTAAAAAAAACACATCTGTTATAATCTTTTCAAAAGGAAAAACTGTCCAAGTTCTTAATACCTCCTCTTCCCTCAGCTTCAGTTCTTCCATCTGTTTGCAAAGTTCCTCCGCCCTCCTCAGCTCTTCTGCCTTCCTTTTCTCCTCAGCTTGCTTCATCCTCGCCAGACCCTCTTTTCGGGTCCTCTCGTACTCATTTTCAAAGCGTCTGTTCTTCTCCTGCTCCGCGATATCTTGCTACATGTTTGGAGAGATGGTCGCTTACAGTAGGTGTCGAACTTTGTTAATTAAGTACCACGTTGAGAGGGTTAACAGGAGTACTTTTCAGACGTGATACTTTGCTCACAGATGACACGAGCTGGTTCATTAAGCATGCAGTTGTTACATAAATAATTAGTCAGCTGCAGGTATAATGACAACGTTTAATGGGTCCCATGTGTCCTCACCAACTTGAAGGAGGCGTTGCCAAGGCGTCTGGGTGAAATGTAGTAATAACCATCGAAATAGAATGAGTAAAAACAACTGTTGCCATGGTTGTATCAGTAGTTGAAGATGATGCACAGCCATCTAAATTGACCATAGAAACTTTTTTGCAATAGTAAAAAAGGCTGCCGCTTCTAACTTGTTGATATGATTGGGAATGTCTTTTCTGCCATTATTCTATGTCTATGGTAATAACTGTGTAAGAATAATAAGTGCTTTGACCTTCCGGTCTTTGTTCCAAGTTGGACATTTCTTGGGCCACTTACAACAAGGAGCTACAGCTCAAAATGGGTTATTGATATAAAACAATTGAATAGCATCAGAAGAAATTAAACTGTTTTGTCATATGGCAGCGGTGGATGGCTTACCTGTTTCTTCTCGGATATCTGCTCGTGCCATTGGCTGACAACATGATCTTTATGTAATGCTGACTCAACCTGTGGATGGATTAAAAGAGAGAGAAAGAACATAGACGAGACAAAGATACTGATGAGGCTGAACCTTAGCAGCAGGGACACCACAACATTTCATTCCCTTAGGTCACACTGGACTCGGGTTAACAGAAAGTCATGCAATAGCTGTATCACAAGCCCTATTAGTTTCCAGATCAAGTGGACGTCTCGACAAAAGTGTCTGTTTTCTCCTCTTGCAGAGCTCTGCAGACACTCAGGATGGTTACAGTATTCCTGAGGCCATTAATCATTTTATCAACAGTGAAACTTTGAAATAGGAGGTTTACAGGTAAACTGATCTACCTTTTGCAACTCTGTGTTGTTTTTCTTCCAGTGCTCTCTGAGCAGCTCTTGTGCAAGCTAGAGATAAAAAAAAAATCATTATGATGACACACTGATGGCAGAGCACCATGATTAGTACTAAATATAAAACTATATAACAATTTCAATTCAAGTGAATTTACCTTTTTTCTTCTCTCCTCTCTCACTGTACGAAGCTCTTTAGTCTTTTGCAGCAGCTGACTTGCCAATGTGCCGGTATCAGGAACCACTTCCCTGAGCTCAGCTTCTAGCCGGGCGTGCTCCTCCTCAAGCATGACCCTTAGCCGATTCCTGCGCTGCTCCAGGCTGGCCTTCTTTTCCTCCTCTAGTTTCTGTTTATTGTATGCCGACATACTGAAAAAACAAAGGAAAAGAGACCTTAGTTCAGGCTTAATTTGTCTGTTGAAACCAACATTGTTTTAGCGACATAATAGAGCAGTTAATACAAGTGGTTTATTTCTGTCCTTCATTATAAACAAACACCGTACAGCATGGCACATGTAAAACAGGTCTACAGGTAGATAGGGGGGTATTTAGTTACAGAGCCCAATGCATAGACTGTACACATAACTATACATTCAAAAAGAAGCATTGACTTCTGCAACATTTCTCTCTGTGAATATCATAAAAACTCCGTTACTATCACTATAATGTTTCAGAGTGAAAGGATTTCAATGTACATTGTGCTATTATTTCAGTCATTGCTCTTCATAACTTACAAATGTTAACTTATGGTGTTAAAAAACCACATTATATATATACACACACGTCTATGATAATAATAATAATAATAATAGCATTTCAATGAATGGCTCTCTTTCTTTGGACACACTTACACAGGAGATTAGTCAAGTCTTGAGAGGAAAATCTAACCTTATGTTTGTTGCAGAGAACGAAAATCGCATCTGAGAGGTGTTACAAATGCACAGGGAGCCATGCGCTGCACATCACTGTCTCCTTTGAAATGCATTGCATGAGGCGCGTGTACCTCTTGTCGTAGGACCGAGCGGAGCTCCACGCCGCTTGCCTCTGGCTGCGGACACTCTGCTGCCGGAAGTACTGGGAGTGCAGCTCCCACTGCTGGCGACAGCGGGCCTCCTGCTCCCGCCGCAGGGCCATCCGCCCGGCCAGCACCCTGGAGCGACTGGGGAAGTGGGCCGAGAGGTTCGGCGGAGACATTTAACCTGAATCGCGCGATTGACGTTACGTTAGAAGAAGCAAATCGCTAACGTCACGTTAGGGTATTTACCGCATGGCAATACCGTTACCTGGCAAACCGCGCCTCGGACCAGAACAAGCATGTGCGAGTTAAGTCGACGTTTATTCGTACAGAAAACGAAAAAAGTATCCAGTTATGTCTTTGCTAGAGTTACGTGTTGAAGGTCATGTCGTTTGTTATGTAACGTAGCTAAAGGCAATGGAGGACAATACAAAAGGTAGCGTAAATAAAGGCGAGCGTTACACATCTCACTAGAAGCCAGCGACGATAAATGACACTTACTTGCCTTTTAGTGATGGACTGTATCGCTTTCTCTCGATGTTTGTTAAAAGCAGTCTAGACTTTGCATTACTAAACGGAAAAATCGCCGTTTTTCAAGTGTTCCAATCCAGTCGTTCCCCAGTTTCCATCAACGTTAGCTTAGTTACCGTTATGCTTCCTAGTTACTCCCACGCTACGGAATCCCGCGAAGATCAAAACTGCTAAACGTTGAAAGAAAAGGCGAATTTCTTTTCCGCCAAACATTATATTACCCATGTCTAATTATACAACTACTAACTTTATTTTGCTAAATAGCCTATAATCGTTTAATTTAATAAAAAAAACATTTTGTCGTCTATTGGGGGAAAAAAGCAAAATTGACTGTTCATAACGTTTTTGACGGTTTTCTATTCTTAACTACAACGCTGGTACTTCCAAGATTAACCAGTTAGTAGTACTACCATTGTTATAGTTACACTATTTACACACCTGTGAATATATATTGTAAATAATGGGCTATAAGATGGTTTCAGATGTCTGAATCACCAGCCACACTTGGTAAAATTAAATAATTGAAGAAATAATTTCATATTTCCTGAATACATAGATTAATGATGTGGAACTAAATGACAAATTACGTCTGATTATCAGGCTACGAATAGCGTAATTGAACACTTCAAGATGTTCCACAGAAATCCATTAGTTGGCAGTAAAGTGGCACATATGCGATTAAACGCAGAGGAAGACCAGTGTCAGCTGATTGGAGAACATCAGGTTTCGTTCTTGTACTTTTCTTCTGCACTCCTGTCCAGACGCGGTTTATCGATCCTTGGCGATGACCCGGACGCACCAATAACGAGCAACCCGCTTGGTATTAACCCTACTGGCGGGTTCAATGTAGGTGACTCTGTGTGTCTGTGTGGGGGGGTGCGCGTGCACGTCAGCGCCTTCGGGGTGCGGTATGGCGCGCGGCTCCTTGCGGTGTCACTGCAAACCCGCGGAGGAGCGTTGAAGGCTGTCGCTTTGCTTCCAGTGGCAGGAGAGATGGCGCTGCTAATGGAGCACCAGTTCAGACAGATGCCAGCTGACAGACAGGTGGAAACGAGACCTTTCCTGGAGGCTGTGTCATACCTTCCGCCATTCTTTGGTGAGTGAAGTTTCCACGGTGTGACACAATTTATGGACCACTTAAAGGCAGATTCCGGTACAAATGTCACTGGCTGCAGAGAGAAGAGGTACCTGGATGATGTATTTATATTGAGCTTATTTTAATGGTTGAGTTGTAAAGTTAAATCATAGAACAGATGAACGGCACTGACAAGATGATTTTTTTTTTAACTTGTCTATTCCCAATACTGTATGATGTATACCTGATGACTGTTAAATTGGCTTGACTTGCACATAAATACATTTTGTATGACAGAAGTCTTCCACCGACGTGCATCTTTCATTTGGGATTTGTTCCACTTTGATTAATAAACAGTAAATTTGACAACAGGACAAAATCTGTCACAACACTCGAAAACGATCTCACTCTTTCCAAAAGATAATCTTTTTTGGATTGGATTTCTCACCGTCAAGCTGTCCACAATCCTTACGCATGCATAATTTAATCCACTGGCCTGGATTTTAGGTTGTGAAAATTGATTAGTACGGTGTTGAGTTCCCCTTGCCCATTCACCGGCGGCATGCTGCGCCAGGGCATCTTTGTGCCACTTCATCCTGTATTAATATGCCAAAGGTCCTCTATTGAATTTGCCATGTGAAACCCTTGAGGGGAACCAAGTCTGGTGTCAATGTTAAGCTCTTCTCTCCTTTTCGCCATTGTTTAACCTGACCTCAAAATGTATTGGCCAAGTTTCCTACGAGCCATTGAAGTCCTGCACACTGTGATAATACATTCACTCAGGTGTTATAAATGAGTTTGTCTACTTAAACCTGTTGTTAAGGATTACATGGACAGTACTTCCTCAATCTCCTGTCAGGTTTGCATCTGTTTTAAAGTAAAATGCAGTTTTCTTTTAAGTAGACAGAGTCAGTCCAACTTCAGAATTAACACCACCCGAATATTTAACACCTGTGTGGGTGTGCAGGGCCTTTAGCCCGCCAACAGCTGAACAAACAATGTTGTTTGTTAACACGAAGGTACTAAGACTTATTCTTGTTAGAGGTGAGTATTAGTTTTATTTCAGTGTTTTGTTGAATATATCTTACTGCAGCTTTTTTGGTTTGCTTCTGAATGCAGTGTCTCGTTGTAGTACAAATCTTAGGAAGAGAGTGGAACATTTCGATAGAGCCATACAACACGAAGATTTCGCCGAAACAAGATATGTGCTGTGGCGATGACATTGGCACAATAGAGCAGACTTTGTCATGAGCAGTTTCCACTAAACTCTTGTGTTGTGTCGGCGGGTCAACCAGGAGTCGTGTGAGGTCGGCGCTCTAGATGTCTCATTGTTTGCCACCCTGTCACCAAATACCCGTGTAGCCTAATTAAAGAAGACCTAATTGTAACACTGTGAAAACAGCAGAAACTGAACTAAGTTACTGTAGAGTTTTTACCCCCTTTGGTAAAGAGTAACCTATTGGACATTTAGTTTTTCCTAACCTCCAGTTGTCAGACTTCTGGTATTTATATAGTTTTCTGTAAAGCTTTAGCTAATGAAGATTTAATGCATTCCAGTGGTGCTATTCAACCATTTGCAAAGGTAAGTGTTTAAATAATATAAAGACATTTTCATGATGGCCAATTTGTAAATGCCATTTAACAAATATATACGCTAAATATCCCAAAAAATAGCAACACATGCACAACTGCAATACAGTCAAGCTTCTATATTGCTAGAGGTTGTTGGTATTTAGTCTCTAAATAATGTAGCTGTATTCTCAATAGCCTTGTTTTGTTTAGCCTTGTGTAGGATTCCCCTCTCTAAACACTTACTGTTTGTGTAAACATTCCTCCTCAGACTGCCTTGGCTCGGCTATTTTTGCCCCAATAAAGGCCGACATATCTGGTAACATCACAGTAAGTATGATTGTTCTTTCACGTGACCTAGTTAACCCTGTGGCTCTCCACTTAAATTTGCCAGTAAAGTTGTAATGTAACAAAGAGGTTCTGATTGCCAAATAGAAAATCAAGGCGGTTTACGATACCAACCCAGGGCGGTTCAAAACGCTGCAGCACATTTTGGAGGCAGAGAAGGAAATACATGGAGCAGAGTGGCCAAAGGCTGGAGCAACGCTGGCTCTTCTGTGGCTTAAAAGGTTTGTTAAATGTTTCCTTTCAGCCTTGTTGGCTGGTTGGGTCATGCGTGTGCCTACAGCATTGAGCAAGGCCTGATCCGTAACCACTTTGCATGTCTTTGTTATTGACCAGGGGTCTACGGTTTATTCAAGTCTTCCTACAGAGCCTGGTAGATGGTGATAAAGATGATAGCAACCCGAACCTCATTCGAGTCAATGTCACCAAAGCTTATGAAATAGCCCTTAAAAAGTATCATGGCTGGTTTGTGCAACAGCTCTTCAAGGTGAGTTCAGAGTTGATATACATGTGCAATTTTTAATGTTATTTATAAAGTAATGTATCGCAGATTGAAAAAGCTGTGCAAAGTTCAGCAGAAATTTGGCATTTCTATTTGCTCCTACAGGCAGCTCTTTACGCTGCTCCATATAAGACAGATTTCCTGAAGGCCCTCTCCAAGGGTCGGGATGTCAAGGAAGAGGAATGCTTGGAAAAAATCAGAAAATTCCTCGTCAACTTCACTGCCACTGTTGATGCTATTTATGAGATGTACAGTAAGCTGAATGCTGATCTTGATTACACAGTGTGACAGCAAGACGTTACGCTTTACTCCAATGATCCGCTTAGCTAACAAAGCAATTTACATTCTGCTCTCTGCAATCCACACTTTGACCTGGCTCCCGGTAGGTCACCTAGAACCTTACTGTGGGAGTGAATTTACAATACTCTGTGTTACACGTCAAATATCTGCACACTTTGACTCATCGGTGGGCCTATTCTGGCAAACTCGTTAGGCCTTTTTGCCTCCAACTCTGGGGCTAGTTTCTTAAAGCAGCTGATGATTTAAACCCAGTACTTCTTTGTTCGTCACATAATCACGTTCATCGTCATACGATAATTGCACCAAGAATCAATGTTTTTGAACGGTTTAGGGAAGAGAGGGAGGGGTCTGATGTTAACGGTTTTATTGAGCCAGATCATTATCAGCAAAGAATAACAAAAATATCTTTACTTCTCGTGGATTTTAGATTTACAATGTTGGGGTTCATCATCCTCACATAAGATAAGGGCGGCACTTCATATCATACAAAACAATAATTAAAAATGGGGTTTCACTGGGGTTTCTTTGAAGTTAAACAAGCAAGATTCAAATCATTTAGATGATATGAAACAATGTGGAAAAGACGTCAGCGGTTTTCATCGTACACAGAAAATCCTGTGTACTTGTCCAGTATTTGGAGTATATATTGTAGTTTTTAGTATTTAATGAACACTTTTATTCATGAGTAATGATATAATCATTATTTATTTAGTAATACGAAATACATGTCAATATAATGTCTTTTCTGCATATTTTAAAAAAAGCCCACTTAGTACAAAAAGTTGTAAGCAAGATTGTAAACAGATTTTTATAGTGCACACCTGTTTGTGCCTTGAGCTGAAACTACAGAGCATTTAAGTAAAAATTACCGCTTTTCTGCCTTTTGTCCTTCATATTTTTTATACATGTCACTTTTTGTAAACCAGACAGGCTGATTAAGAACAAGTAGTTGTATTATTACTGAAAGTGTGGTCTCTTTTATATTTCCGTATCTATGCAAGATTTCAAAAGCTTTCCAATTATTCTTCCAAAGCAGTGCCTCATCAGCACTCAGTGCCTTCTCCGGCCGCTCTGCTCTCAGGTTCTCACCTAAAACTAAATGTGAATTGCATTTAAACCTTTCACCTTTGTCCAGTGGATATAAAGTGTTGCAATATCTTTTCTTCCTTTTACAGGGTTGGTATCATTTTCCGTTTCTTGGCAAAACTATATTAAATGTGATATTTTGACAGCAAATCAACCTTGAATCACTGTTGTCAGTATGTTTTGAGTTCATGTGCTGAAACGCTCTTCTGATTTGTCTCTTGTTGCTGAAATGATGTTGCAGTGGATGTATAGTGGAAAATAACAAAGCTTGTTTGTTCAATTTATCTAACCATATAATTTACAATAAAATATGTGCAACATTTAATGTGATTTCTTTACTTCTTGTGCATTTCTAAAGTTTCCCAAATTAAATTAGAATATTTACTTTATTGCCATTCTTAGTACATTTGGAAGGAAGAATGTTTATTTCTTGTCACTATACTTGTACTCAAATTTGAAGATCGGCATTTTAAAGTGTATTGCTCATAATAATCTCATTTACTTGGGCAAGTGACCTTTGTCCTGCATTAAGCGTAAGAGGTCAACTACAGCAGAGGTTATACAAAAGGCCGTATAGTGAAATACCACAGGGGTTTTTCCTTTTGTTCTTCTTTGTGTGCGTTCTTTGTTAGTCTCATCACTCATAGGTTAGAATTTCCCGAAGAAGAATTTTTTTTACTGAACGCAATATATGTATGTATGATGGCTTAGTTCAGGCCATCATATTGATTGAAATACTTTAAGCTCAACCAAAACTAAAAAGTGGTCTTAGTACTAGCAGTAGTATTTTTTCTACCAGTAGCAGTAGAAATACTACAAATGATGGCAGTGTTAAACAGTTGTCAGTAGTTTTAATTAGAGCATTATGTACTCAAATTAAATTTTGAAAGGGTGGGACTGGGTGGGGGAGCGCCGCGCGCTCAGAAAAGGATGAAAAACGCGGAGTCAGCAGACACCCACGTGTTACTCAAAGTGGCCACGCCCTTAATTAAAAATCTTAATTACTTATTATAATTGACAAAGTTGATTGACCTCCTTCCTCTGGAGGTCCCTCCCTTCGAAGGCGGCCTCACGTGGCCGCTCCGCCGAGTGCACTCAGTGCCACTTCCTCGTCGGGGGTTCGCCGCTTCAGGGACGCTGTGATTTAGTGAAAAGCGTTCTGTGTTAACGCGAGGAGGCGGACGGAGGAGCGCTCGATGAACTGGAAGGGAACTGAGCTGCGGGACCGGGTTTGCGTCGTGGAGGAATAAGATCAACAGATTGGATCAAGGTAAGAAGCGCCTCTGGTCGTTATCACTAGATGCCCCCGTCGGAAACGTCATATAAATTGAAATGTGTTTTAACTCGCCTCCGTTTTTATTAAGACCTTGTTTGAGAGGCATTCGAGTCTTGATGATCCCTCGTGTTTTTGTTGTTGCTGTGATCTAACGTTTAAAGCAGCCGCAATGTGCGTCCTCTGGATAATGTCACGTCACCACTGGGAGTCAGCAGGATGTCCCACATCTATCAGACTAGAAACTTTCTCAGGAGGACTTTGACTTCCCGGGGACCACGTGACCTTCTGTCTTCTTTTTGTTATTTCATGTCGTCAGACACCTCCAGCCGACAACAAAGTACGTTTCTCTTAGTCTGTTTTAATATAATAATATATAGTTATCAGTGCTAGGCTTTCGGTCCTCTGTGTTTTTACAGTCTAAAGCCTGCTGAGGTGTAACGGTATGATAATCCCTGTGTGCGTCCCCCACCTCACCTCCCCCACCTCCCCCAGCTCCCCTGTTTGTGTTGCTCCTCTGCAGCTCAGTCTGGCTTAGGTGGTTTGTCAAATGTCATGAACACACCCAGGGAAGTGTGTTTGAAAGGGAGGCTTCGTGGGGAACAAGTGAGGTCTTGTTTTCCAAATTCTTCTGTGACAAAACACGCGCCAAAGTGTGTTTGTCTGTGCTGAGTTTTAACGACTACCTTTTACTTTCATGTATATGTATATATAAAATATACAACAGTGACGGGCAGGAAGTTATTGGCGTTGACATTTTTAATAACAGCTCTGCACTGAAGACAGATTTTTTTTGTATAACAGTTTTTTTGTTTCTACAGGACGCCCACATGCTTCAGCATCATTTCCAGTTTCCCCTGAAGAGGAATTTGGCACACCATTGTGATAAAAGGGATGAATGAGGTACAAAGAGCTTAAATGACAAATTTCCTTAAAGCTTCAAAAGTGGGAGTTTCCAGGGTTCCTTTGGTAAAAGTGTTAGTTGTCCACTTTGCGTTTCAGTATTTGCCTTTTGAGGTGGGCCTTCAATTTGAAAAGCTCATCTAAAGACATCAGCAATTCAGATCTATTAACTGAGCAAATAAAGTAGCTTAGACGTAACTTAGGTTACTGACGTGCGTAAGTAAATTAGATAAGACAAGATACAAGTTATATAAATGAGAAAGTGTGTAAATATACAACAAATTGCTCCATCAGCCAAATGTTTCATGTGGACTGTTTCTGAGTAATGAAAATATATAGGAAGTGAAAGTCTCCCTTTTCACACAATCATAGATGTAAACTTCAGAATGATTATTTATTATTTTATGGTTTATTGACAGTATTTCTGGGCTATGATCCATCGGGGTCCCTGTTTTGTGCAGTTGCGTGACACTATTCACAGTCCTACTGTCGCTGTCCCACTATAAGCAGGTGGCTGCAATGTGCCAACAAAGGAAGAAGGCCGTTAGCAAGAACACATAAATGTAAATATATATTAAAAAAGTATTATTCAAAAGGAAAATACATTTAACATAATTGTCACACCTTCATGATACACTCAATGCTTTTTAGGGAACTGGATTTATTGGCTATACAACGTCTGTTGGCTTACAAAACTCCCAAGGGGACTTTTTCCATTTGAACCAGACTTTCTTGACGCTGCTAAAGCCCATCAGCTCACGCAGAACATTCTGTTCATTCCAGGGCCGCTCTGCTCTCTTCAGAAGGTGCCACCTTGCTTTGTCCAAGGCCGACACCGTTGGTTCGGTTCCTGGCAGAAATGCCGCCTCTGTGGACTCAGGAGACGGCGCGGCCCCTCAGCCCGACGGCGACGCAGCACTCGGCCTCTCCGAGCTCTCTCACTTGTTCGAGAACGACGACGGCTCCCCGTCAACTCAGGACACGAGTGGCGGCTCGGCCCCGGAGCTGGTTCAGCCCGGCCAGCCGGCCGAGGGCAGGCAGAACCTTCGGATGAAGTTCCAGGGTGCTTTCAGGAAGGGCATTTCCACCCACATGGACCTCCTGGAGTCCACGATATACGAGTCAAATGTGGTTCAAGGTCCTAAGAAAGCACCCATGGACTCGCTCTTTGACTATGGCACCTGCAGGAACACCAGTAACCAGAAGCGGCGCAGGAAGAAGCTCCCGAGAGGGTGAGAAGGGCCTCGTTTGCACGATTTAATAATCATGTGCTGGTTCTGGTTGAACAGTAGCGCCCTTGGGCTGGTTCGGAAAAATGTTGTCATGAAAATGAAAACCTCCTACAACTGCCGCTCTGTAGACAGAGGTGTGCCACATGAGGAAGTATGAATACACACACGCACACTTACAATCACACGGTGGACCAAGAAGTCCTTCATTCAGTGCACTGAGCTGGACAGAGAGCGTGTTGTTGGCGTTGAGGTAATATTTAGGCTGCCTTACCTGTCCAGTACACACACAGGTCTGTTTGCTGAAGCACTCGAGGCTGTGGGTGATCGGTTAAAAGATGTGATTGATGGCAAGTGATTCAAAGAGAATCTTGCAGTGAACGCGTGACGTCGCGCTCTGTGTCTCCTCAGTAAAACCGAGGCGTCCTGTGATGACGATGGTCAAAGCTCCGACCCGCCAAAAGTAATGAAAGTATTCAACCGCTCCCTCCTCTTCGACGCCGTGTCGCGCGCAGACCCCGAGGCTCTCGAGGGCCTGCTGGAGTACCTGCAGAGTCACGAAAAGAGGTTAACGGATGAGGAGTTCAAAGGTGAGACTGTAGGTCGTCTGACTGGGGGACCATTTTGTGGTAAAGATGACACAGAATAATTGTTTACTCGTCTTTTGTTCGAAAAACCGAAACTGAGTTACTTTTGACCTTTTTGTATTTCCCTGCTCCTGCCTCCCTATTGTTTGGACGTGAGAGGGAAAAGGTGGAGTCGAGTCTTTGCTGAGGCCAGGGAAAGCTTCCTGTGTGTGTTAGCACTAGTTTCCGGCTTATAACAAGGAGCAGAGAGAAATCACAGCAAACTGTCATTCCCTTCAGATACCTAAACAGAACTTTACAGGGTCTGTTTTCATCTTCTGTCAATGTGGAACCATCTACAGTTCATTTAGGGTTACACACTAGGAGGTCACGTTTTCAATGAGTAGATAACAAACCAGGGCTCCTTCTCTTTACTTATACAATTGCCATTTGGGATGCGAAAAGATTTAATACAAATAGTAGAAAATAATTGAACGGCATTTGATTTAAAACCTACATTCTGTATCCTTGTATTGAGTCAGCGGAAACAAATCTCATCAAAACACACACCGTGATGCCATTAAGAGTGTGTAGAAATGTGTCCCCTTAAGCAGGTATAAGTGCAGATATAAAGCAGCTAATGTACCTGAAAGTAATACGTGAATGGTGAAATCGATAGTTTCAAGTATTTTAATAAAGTGCTTCAATTCAAATAGTTGAACTTGTTTTATTTGATGAAATGTTGAGAGAAATAGTGAAACACACATATAAAATAGCTTAACATAAATCGTAAATGGATGAAATCATTGACTAAATATTAGGGATGAACAGCAGAAATCACTGGCTACTGGATGAGTGATTAACACGTCCAGCTTCTGCCATCACTTGGGTTCATGAGTGTGCTACACGAAGCCATATACGAAAACAATATTCTAACAATAGCCACTTTTATGTATTTGATTGTGTCCAATTGATGAGTGGTTGTTATTTACACTATCGGAACAAGATTGGTTCTCAGTTTTAATGTCATGTTTCCAGAGTTGTCCACGGGGAAGACTTGTCTGCCTAAAGCGCTGTTGAACCTTTACGGGGGGCAGAACGTCACCATCCCACTGCTGGTGGACGTAGCGGAGAAGACCGGAAACCTCAGAGAGTTCATAAACACGCCCTTCCGGGACGTCTACTACAGAGGTAAGGACAAACAAATATGACAACACCAGGTACATGAAGTCATTTGCAACTTAATGTGTGTTGAGAGAAATTAGTCATTTGTATTGAGCTGTTTTAAGAAAGATGGTGGTTCCTTGATCTTCCACTGAGTCTAGGCTGGCAGAGACCGTGTTCTGTGGAGCTGCTATAGCTCGCCTGGTTGGTGTCGAGGCCCCATTGATGGGGAGGGACAGTATTTACATGATGTTTCTGTACAGCGACTTATTACAGCTCTCTCAATGAGAAGACCCCCGTCTCATTTGCTTGGCTTTCATCTCTGTTTTGGCCAAACAGTGAAGGACGCTTTTAACCCTTTGCAAAGAAATCTGGTCTTCTTCATCATTTTATTATTTTATCTTTCTACTTCTACTAAGTGTGGAATTCAGCTCAAAGAACAAATCTGCCTCCCTTGATTAATGCAAGAAACATCTTTTATGTGACCCTTGTTTCAATGCTTGACCCCCATGTGTCCACATGCACTCATTGCTTTCAGCCAGAATTTTACCTCAAACATCAAGCTCTTAATTGCATTTTTTTTTTTTTTTCCAGAGCACAAAAATTTGAATAATTATTGCCTGGAGAACATTTCAACAAGTATTCATTAGATTGAACACTGCACACCAAACAGCCCTTCTGAATGCCAATACTCAAATGTTTGTCTTATTATTGTGGTTTTTTTAATTACCAGGCCAGACGGCGCTCCACATTGCTATAGAGCGACGCTGTAAGCAGTATGTGGAGCTCATGGTGGAGCACGGAGCGGATGTTCACGCCCAGGCGAGGGGACGCTTCTTCCAGCCCAGAGACGAGGGAGGCTACTTCTACTTTGGTAATAAAAGACTCTGGCCAGAGGGTCATTGGGAAGAAGTCTGGAAAGCAGTTGCTGTGTTTTCTGCTTCATATGCTGGTAATGATGTGGTCTCTCTTTGGCTCCAACGACTTCTCCGGTCACTCTTTCACTTTTCCACGCTGGCTCTGGGCTTTTGCTTAACTCATAAGTGGTTGGTCTGTCTTTTACGGGACGCAGATGACATCAACGCAATGTGCTCCACGCCAACTGCCAAGATAAAATAGTTATACGTGGTCCTGGGTAGGAAACCTGTTGCCATGGAGAAATAACGTGGCATGAGACCCCACCCTTTGTTAACGTGGAAAGTTTTGGCTGAGCGAACACAGTCGGGGTCTGTGGTCCAGAGGTGACGTCCCAGCCAGGTATCGTACGAGGAACCGTCATCAGTCGCTCTCCCAAAACACATCAAAAGAAAAGCATTATGTCATATGTTCAGTGAAAGGTGCCAGTGTTCTGCATTGAAGAAAAGTCAACATCCTCTGCTGACCCTCCTCTGGGCAGATCTTCAGTGATCCGAAAGAGAGGAAAGTCAGTCGGAGCCGTTAAACTAAACTCAACAGCGCCCTCTGCCGTGTCTGTCCACACACAACCTTCCACATGTCTCCTTTTAGCCAGCAGAAGATAATCATAGCCGATATCATTTATATAGATCTTAGTCTCCTTAAACACTGAAACTTATGAACTTTGCTTTAAAATTTTTACCCAATTTTAAGACACACGATCAGATGACATTCATGCATTATATTTCTTGCTCGTCACAGAGGAGATGATTTCTATTTGCACTCGGCACGGTTGTCATTCCCAAATCCTAGCGTGTCCGGACACAGTGTGAGTAATTTGCCGCGGAGCTTTGGAGTTAGGTGAACAGGAACCTGGCAGAGCTGAGGGCTAATGGGATTTAGACTCACGCTCACACTCCGCATGCACCCGTGCAAATCCATGAAGAGGAGCGTCTCTATGTGAGGTGACAAAGTAATCTGTCACCCATGGCAACAGCTCATTTTCGGCAGCTGCTTTTGGCACTCTGGCCGCATCGCGCCCCTCCCTCACCCTCAACTGCTAATTGTCCTGTTTTCATAGCGGGGATTAAAGTCAGATCTTTGATTCATGTTTAGTATGCTTTGCGAAAACCTACAGACCTGGCGTCTACATTCGTTAATTAACCCTCCTGTTGATTTGCTTCTTCTTTTTTTTAAATCATTAATCTCCTGGATATTCGGTATGAAGTTCGGTCTCTCTCCTTGCCTAGGTGAGCTGCCTCTCTCTCTGGCTGCATGCACCAACCAGCCCAACATAGTGCACTACCTGACCGAGAATCCGCACAAGAAGGCCGACCTGCGGCGCCAAGATTCCAGAGGAAACACGGTGCTGCACGCTCTGGTGCACATTGCGGACAACACTAAAGACAACACCCGTTTCCTCACAAAGATGTACGACCTGCTGCTAGTCAAGAGCGCCAAGCTCTACCCGGACTGCAACCTGGAGACAGTGCTCAACAACGATGGCATGTCCCCCCTCATGATGGCCGCCAAACTGGGCAAGATCGGGGTATGGATGATGATACAAGCAGCACCAGTATCACAAAGTTTTCACTTTGACATTTCTATTAAGTCAAAGTCAATTTCACCATATTCCTGCAGGTGTTTCAGCACATTATCCGACGTGAGATCAAAGATGAGGAAGTTCGTCAGCTGTCACGCAAGTTTAAGGACTGGGCATATGGGCCAGTGTACTCCTCCCTCTACGACCTGTCGTCTCTGGATACGTGTGGAGAGGAACCGTCTGTGCTGGAGATCCTGGTCTACAACAGCCGCAATGAGGTGAACAACAATACCAAGCGCAAGTTGTTGCTTTTGTTCCAGCTATGAAAATATACAGCTGAAATAATTTTTGTTTCACTCAAGATGAGAGTGTTGAGAGCAGCGAGAGACCGGGGCGTAACATGAAAAATGTACGGGCGCCTCAAAGGCTTGTTTCATGAAAGATTCTGTGTGTTCACAAACATTACATCACTCTCATGTTTGTGGTGCTGTTGTCAGAACCGCCACGAGATGCTGGCAGTGGAGCCCATCAACGAGCTGCTGAGGGCCAAATGGCAGAAGTTTGCTGCAGTCACCTTTTATATCAGTGTGGTTTCCTACCTCATCACCATGATCATCTTTACCCTGGTGGCTTATTACCATCCGACGCAGGGAACGGTGGGTGTGAAACTATGAAAGCAGCATGGCTAAAATCTCCTAGGAATAGATCAGTGCTTCGCAACTCAAATGATCAAATGTGCCCAGACAGCGTTGCATTTCAGGGTGGTAAACAAACGCATCTATTAGAAAGCAGCAAGTAAACTTTGTGCTTCTGATATATGACCAGTGTATGTAGACCACATACGCTGTAGATCAGATGGCTAAATACTATCTGTACATAAAGTCCATGTATCATTTGAGAACATCACATTGCTATAACAAATTCTTACCACTTTTGTACCTATTGACCACGTATTGTATTAAAGAAGTAGTGCATCAATGTACTGCAAAATACACATATCTGCTTTATTGGAATGAGGATCGATAAAACTCATGTAACCTACTATGACTTACAGCCGTCATGCTAGACTGACTCCGTCCAAAAGTTGATCCACCTTCTGCCGTATATGTGCCGTATATTTATTTATATATATTGAATTGTCCTAGCCTAAAGGTCTTTGAACACAACAATATCTAAAAAACAACTAGTTGTCCAATGGCAATAACAGGAAATACCCCATTTTTTTCATATTAGTAAAGAAATGCTTTGAATTTTCTTGCAGATTGATTTAATTGAATAGTCTCCTCCTGCTTCCTTGCAGCCTCCGTACCCTTACACAACATCCTCTGATTACCTGCGCATGGCAGGAGAGATTCTCACCTTGGCATCAGGAATCTTCTTCTTCCTCACCAATGTGAGTCAATGACTCCTGTTTCTGGTTCCATCCTTGCGTCGCTGTCTTTTGCAACAAACTCAAAACTGAATGTCGTTGTTGTTGTCACTATGCAAATGTCTCTCCTGGTATTCGCAGATTAAGGACCTCTTTTTGAAGAAGTGCCCCGGCGTGAAGTCTTTATTTATGGATGGATCATTTCAACTGCTGTAGTAAGTCTACATCCTCTGCCCGTTCTCCCCTCTTCATCACCTCTGCCATAGCAGCTTTTGCTGACATTTAATTGAGGCAAAATTTAGCATTCCCTAAATTAAGTCATTTAATTCATTTCTAAACGCCCCCCCCTCACAATTTCAATAGTTTACGTCTTTAATTTGATCCATTATCCAAATAAAGAGCAGAGAACGTCGAGCCCCTCTCTGAACCGTAGTGATTCAAGTCATTAGCTTTGATTTCTACACTCTCATAAAAAGGCCGGCGATCACGTCTCACTGCCTTCATGTATCGCTTCTGCATCACAGACTTTTGCATCGGAATTGATTCCATGACAATCTTCCCCTCTGCCCTCTCCAGCTTCATCTACTCTGTCCTGATTGTAGTCACAGCTGCTCTCTACCTGTCGGGCATTAAAGCCTATGTGTCTGTGATGGTATTTGCACTTGTCCTGGGCTGGATGAACACTCTTTACTTCACCAGAGGCCTGAAGCTCACTGGAACCTACAGTATCATGATACAGAAGGTCAGACGGTGGAGGAAATTAACTAATGAAATGCATTAACGTTCAATACACCACCCGTCTCTCTTACCTCTCTTTTTTTTTGGTTCACAGATTCTTTTTAAAGACCTTTTCAGATTTCTGCTGGTGTACGTGCTCTTCATGATTGGATATGCCTCAGGTGCAGCTTTTATTTTTCCTCTCCTCATTTAACTTTAGGAAAGGAGGCAAACATTTCAAAAGGTTCAGCTGTTACTGACCTAACCCACCCTCCCGTCTCCCCCCTGTAGCCCTGGTGTCCCTGCTGACGATGTGCCCTCCACCGGGCACCGAGTGTGAGGGGGGCTGTCCCACCTACCCCAAATGCAGGGACCCAGACACTTTCAGTGCTTTCCTACTGGACCTCTTTAAGTTGACCATTGGGATGGGAGAATTGGACATGATTCACGGTGCACAGTATCCTGCAGTTTTCCTCATCCTGTTGGTCACCTACATCATCCTAACTTTTGTCCTGCTGCTAAACATGTTGATCGCGTTGATGGGGGAGACGGTGGGACAGGTGTCAAAAGAGAGCAAGAAGATCTGGAAGCTTCAGGTGAGCTGGAAATAACTCTTTTTGGTTCAGTTCCCCCAAATTATGAAAACACAAATGCTCCTTTGGTATCTCGCCATCCAGATACATTTGGTTTTGTGATATTCCAACATGAGACATAAGAGGTGAAACAAATTCACTTTGTGAAAAAGTGTATTTTTCTTGTAATGTCAGTCATTCAGTCATTCCAGTGGCTCTGTGAGGCTGTACTGTAACATCAGCATGCTTACCTGAACATGTCCAGTAATATTTCATACACTTAATATCTCAGTGTAGCATGTTAGCATGCTATCTATAGCCAATCACAATTTAACACAAGCTGAGGCCGATAAAAATATTTTATATTGTGTTTGGTAGTAGTACTGGAGAAAAAGTTTAACCTGATAAATATGTATTACATTCACACAACCAGTTCAAACAAGGCAACAGTGCAGAGCAATATGGGTGTTTTTTTGAACCATCCATATTGGACTTGTAGTTTTATATTACAGTATTAAAGCTCCATTTGGAATTATAACATGTGGTCAATTTAAGGGCCTGTTTTGAGATTTGCTGCCATCGTTTTCTGTCGCAGACTTCAGTAAACCCACGTTGAGAACTGTGGAGTGCTACAATTAGCAAGATTATACACGTATCCATTGAATGTGCCGCAGTGTCTTCAGTCCACCCGAACTCTGTGGCTGCTATATGAATGCTCAGATTGTTGTATGAAGACATTTTAATGTCCAGAGTGATTCATACACCAATGTAAACCTATTTACAGTGGGCAACGACCATCTTGGACATCGAACGCTCTTTTCCAGTCTGCCTTCGCAAGTCTTTTCGAGCCGGGGAGATGGTGACTGTGGGAAAGAGCTGGGATGGCACGCCTGACCGCCGCTGGTGCTTCAGGTATTATGCATGACTTATAACCACGGTCAATCATCAGGGCCAATGCCACCTCAAAGAAAACTGTCAATCCCGATGGTGTCTTCTTATATCAGGGTGGATGAGGTGAACTGGTGTCACTGGAATCAGAACCTTGCAATAATCAACGAGGATCCAGGCAAGAACGAGGTCTGCCAAGCCAATGGGTTGCAGCAGGGTGTCAGAGCCTTGCGGAGAGGTGAGACTCTCACGGTGCTCTCATGAATAAATGCATTGACAAATGAGTATATATTCATGCGCAGCACGCACTTGGTTATTTATAAAGATCAGAGAATTTTTTTTTTCTTTTTATGCCGCTGTAGATCGCTGGTCCACAGTGGTTCCGCGGGCGGTGGAGCTGAGTAAGGGGCCGCGGCCTCGTGATCTGTCAATAGAGATGGAGCCGCTGACGCCCAGGCACTGACGCCTGCAGAAGAGTTGAGCACTCCTTCTTACAAAGAGACAGCTGAGAAACCTTCAGGAGCCGTGAGGTCATTTAACCATCGAGGATTTGGCCAATAGCGACTAATTAGCACAGAAAAGGGCATAGTAAATATTACAGCAATACAGAGGACTGAGCACACGGAAACACTGGATGTACAATGTTTTAAAGAATCAGTGATCTGAAAAACATCCCATTAAAACATATGAGATACACATTATAAAAAAGTATTATTAAACACACCATGCGCTGCAAATAGTTTTAAACTTGTCGTGGATCGATCGAGAACTTATACTAAATATGTCAGCATTTCCATTCTCATTGTAATCTTATGGGAAACAGTCAACAATGTTTTTTTAATAGCTAACAGAAGTACAGTTACTGCTTCCAAACAAAAGCTTTGATAGAAATGCCATCAACAGAGATGCTCACAATGGGAGGTACTGCGTCTGCAAATCATTGCAATAAATATTGATGAGCTTATAGAATACATTTTGATTTTATTTGCTTGCTTTGCATTCAAGAGGTCCCTAAATGAGATTATATTGTGTATTGTTCAGTGTATGTGGGTTCAGTATATAGATACAGGATGTATATACAGTGTGTGTGTGTATGTATGTATGTATGTATGTGTATATATATATATATATATATATATATATATATATATATTTTACAAAGTGCATTTTGCTAATTTTTTTTATACTAATTAAATAGTTTTAAAATGTCAGCTAGTTGTCGCACTGGCTCAGTCAGTGCGGCTTTCATTTGATTGGAAACAATGAAGTATGCCAATTTCTGATGTGTGCATTATTGTATGAACACAATGACATTGTTCTCAACAAGATGGGCATGATGAGCAGGTTATAGTTGTCAAGCAAATATGCAAATGCCAGACAATAGCCTTCCGTGTTACGGTTTGTCTTTGAATTTGTGGAGTTATTGTTCCTTTGCAGCTGGGGTATTTGCATAATCAACTCTCAGGCCTGGCTATTATGTGCTCCCCCCTGTTTGTTGTGGTGTTTTATTGCAATTGGCTCCCTGCCCTATATAGCATCTTATTTATGCCCTACTACTGTATGTATACATGTGTTTTTTTCTGTTCTTGTACTACATGACAGGGTTTGATTAAGAGCAACAACCGCATACAGTTCATTTGTTCACTGTAAGCATTGCAATATGTTTTTATATTGTTTTTACTCAAAAGACACAAACTACACAATAGTCTGTTTTCTGATTCCTGCATTTAATTATGCAATTTTTATTGTCAAACAGTGTTTGACAGATTGAGAGAATTATTTTATCCAACGATATTTGCTACTTATCAGCATGAGCACAATGAAGTTGCCAAATAAAGCTAAGTATCAAAAAAAACAATATATTTCATTATCAACAAGAAATAGTTTGATATGGAAAATATATGCTTTCTTTAGAAATGTAGTTTAGTAGGACAGATATAGAAATATCTACATTTAATAATTGTTCAATGCAATAATTATTTTCATTGCTGTAAAATTGTCACATAGCTTACTAATGACATCTGACATTTGTAAAAATGTTTTTGAATAAGAAAATGAAGCTGTTAATTGTCATTTGCAGTTCCTTCTCCGACCTGCTGGTGGCAGCAGAGGTCTAAATTCCTCTGCTGTGTCGTCTGGGCAGATCCCAGGTTAGGCTGACAGGTCCTGGCTGTGTCTGTACAATCTGTAGGGTACAAATATATTCATATATCCTGTACATATAAAGTTGTTTCCATTTTTCATTAGAACTGTAAATGTTGAGTTGTCATCGCTAACTGTTATTATCACTATAACCTTTTAAAGGCCATAATTTGCAGGATGCAGTGCGTTTATGAAACATTTTTCATGTGTATCTCAGGTCTCATTGACCTCGCTGTAACACCCGGCCAGTAATTATGGGCTTCTGCCTTTCTAATTAAACCACAAGCTGGCAACACTTTATCAACTGCTTCACTGCTTTCCGCATTTTATCATTACACCTCACCCTTTGCTTTTCATCTACTAAACGCCACAGCGGTGATTCTCACTCAAGCCTCACCCCTCACCTCCGGTCCTCCTCCTCCTCCTCCTCTTCTCTCCCCTCTCTGAGACCAGCAGCGTTGAAGGACACGGGGACTCTCTCACCACCTCAGAGAAGAGGTCTAATCCTCTTTGCCCCAACTTTAACTGGGCCACTAATCCTCCAGGTTTATCTAAGCAGTGAGCACCTCCGCTGCTGACAACTTGGCCTGCCCTCCTCCCCACAGCCTGCTAAGTAGGGCAGGACTCCGGTCCTGCAAGAGTCACTGTCAGCAACTCTGGAACCGCACACAGTTCAGTTCAGGAAGTGTGAGCTGTTAACAAAATGACTTACTCGCTTGCAGCATCCGTGTGCTCGATGCCACGAATGTGTCTCGACAAACCAAAGCAAGAGCCAAGCAGGATCAAGTCGTAACGGCCCTCATTTAGCAGCCGCAACCCAAGGGAAAGTGGACAGTCTCAGCCAGAGGTCTTAAGTAAAGTAACTAGCTTATACATAAGCAGCACAAATGGTTCAGCTATTGTCCAGACAGTTAAGCTTTAAGGTGTTTAGGTTGATGAGTCTCAAGCAGATACTTGGATTTAGGCCAGCACATTGTTTATTCACTAAACAAGACTCCAGCCTGTCTGATAGCTTCAAGTACAACATTTCTGGTCTGCCTGAGGTCAAGCAGCTTGAGAGGGAAACCGCACTAAATACTGGTCACACTGGCATTTAACAATGTCGCTCAAAAATGTTGCAGAAGAGGTGGGTGGACCATCACTGGTTAACACACAAGGTCGCGAGAGCCAAAAGAAGGTTTCTCACAGATTGAAGTCGTCCTAATCTTCCTTGTTATTATTCCTTCAAATTCCCTCCATAATCCAGAGGGATAGAAATATTTCACCCGGGTGTGGTATTTCTAAACGGACTTGACGCACCGGTGGAGGAGGAGCCAGAGACATACTGGTTAGTTAGCGTGTGAAATGACCTTTCAGTTCATCCGAGATAAAACGAGGCCGCTGAACCCGAAATGATTCAGAGAGTCCAAATTGACAGGCGAGGGCACGGCAGCGGCAGAGCGGCAGCCCGCTGGCCGGCCTCGGCAGGCATCTCCCGTGATTTATTGTGAAATTGCCAGGGACTCAATGTGGCGTGCAGGTGAATGAGTTTTGCTAATAAGAGGAGCATTTCTGCTCCACGGAGCTCTTTTTCTGTCTGAGCAGGCGTGTATGAAATCAGTGTGCAGTCTCCCAGTACCACACGCTCTGGTGGAGGCGGCCGGCTCATCAGTCTGTGGCTCATCTGATGTTTCAGGTGGGCGGAGAGGTTGGGAGCAGAGAGAGAAATGAGGTGCCTTGTGTTGTTAAACGTTTAGATGTAGCAACAAGCAGCCTACATAAAGCTTGACTTTAGAATATAGACTATTAATTATGTAGTTTCTCCTTTTTTTTGTTTTTCTCAGTGTAAGCTTACGAAGCAAAACGTTGTGCGCCACCAAGAGAAACATAAGTGGCCGTGTTTTGCTTTCTAAGAAAAATTGGCTCAGGCACTTCAGACAGTTGACAATCCCTTATTGTATGACTTGAATGTCCGAGCCTCTGAGTCTTGTCTGGGCCACTTTGCGTAAAGTGCATGTGAAGAGACTTAGCTTGCCTTTGCCTCCGCTTAGGAGAAGTCTCTCCAAATCCTCGTCAAGGAAATCATTACAGTTTCCGAGCGTACTGTCACTGTCCATTGTGGGGTGTTTTCCAATGATGCTTTAAGGCCTTAGGGACACCGAAATATACTGCTGTAAAGGTGTAAGAGGTCAAGTGGACAACAGGATTGTAGAGGCCGGCATATGGCAACGATGGGCAAAGTGAATCCGTCGACTAATATGCTTACCTTTGTACAATGAGGTGTCTAAACATGTTTACAGGAAGGGAGAAGAAGAATAGGACCTCAGGTGAGTATCGCAACAAGACAGGCGTAGGAGTCATCTGCTTTATTTACTTATGTCAAACAATAATACATAAGAGGAGAGATCAAAGGAAAACCCACAATCTACAATAAAAAAAAGACATTTCCGTCCTGAGATTGACAAAAAGAACCAAAATAACTAAACAGCAATCGAAGTATCTACTGTGGTCGTTGGGAAGGGGAACAATGGCAGCTTTAGCAGAGTGAAGATGGTGGTGGTGGGAGATTAGGGGGAGATTGCAGAAGGTAAAGCAATCACCGGGATGCTTGACTGTAGGCACATTCAAAAGTTGAAAACCCCACGACGAAAGGATTTTACAGCTTTGTTTTTAATATTCCGACTTCTCATTAAAAAAATCTAAGACTCGTATATTATCATCTTCAAAAAAAGCAACGCTTTTTCTTTTTTTTTAAACATTTTTTCATCCTGAGGAGACAAAATCATTTTTTAAACATAAATACAACACTGCAGGGAGAACAATAAGAGAGGCTTAATATATTTCCCATTTCCATATATATTATTTTCTCAAGGTTGCTGCACCCTCAGACTTTGGCACCATTGGTGCATTTGAGATAATTCTGGGAAAACAGCCCCGTTTGTCCACAGGAACATTCTGAGAGCCGCACAAACGGTACCGTAAAGAGAAAATGAAGAAAAAAAAGAACAAAATCCCCAGACTTTTGTGTTTGGATTGGATACAGCAATAAACCCACCACATAAACTGAATGAATATTTGGAGGCCATAAGCTTTTTCAGCTGAACATACATAGTTGTGATGCTGAAGAAATAAAAAGCTGTAAGCCCAGTGGAATTACAACCTGCTGCAGTGCCTGTTGCAAAAGGGCTCTGTGACTGTGCCTTTGGAAAATGATTTAAAGGATTTATTTTGTGATCTTTGATGAAAACATGTAACGGTAATGGTGCAGCCGGCGTTATTCAGTAGCACTATAAATGTGTGTGCTGTGACTCAAAAGCACAACAAATCTCCATAAGGCTGGTGGCTGGCCTCCTCGGGACCATCTGTATTATTGATTAAAGTATTTTCTTGCTAGGTGGGAGCCCACTACGGATGACCGGCCTCGTGACTTTATCATTTGCAGACGTTGAGGAGGGCGGCTGGGAAGGACTCTGAGATGGGAGCCCTGGGGGCCCAAGGGCAGCCAGGGGACAGGACTAAAGTGGTGTGGAGGGAACGTCGGCCCCCTTACAGCCACCCCTCTCCCCTCCCCCCTCCCTCTGTAGGTTAGAGAAGCAGCGCCAGGACTCTACAGAGCGAGCAGCTGCCTTTATTTTCCCTGTCCCTCCCGTCTCCTCTGTTTTGATAGTGACAGAGCTGACCCTGATTTGAACGCGGCCGACTTGCTAGTAGTATTTTAGGTGCATAATATGCGATCAGACCGTTGCTGGTTAAAGGTCTAAATGGACTTGTTGGGATTTACTAAGTGTTTTTTACCACCAGCGAACATCAACGCCCCTCCACCGTGCCCTCGTCTCATTGCCCTTGAAAACAGTCGACAGCCTATAAGTTATATCCAAATGTCCTCATTCCTATGGGCTCTTGTCTATCTAATATAAAGAAAAGTGAAGATTCCCCAGTAAAAATCTTCAGGTGAAGAATGTGATTTCCTCAGAGCTTGTATCTCAATATGAGGCCATGAAGCCAAAGGGGGAGACTGACACCAGCACCAGGAACATGGCAATTATCCTGATTACTGATGCTTCGAGGCTCCCCTGACCTCAAATCCCCCCCTGTATCTCTCTCCATCTTTCTTTCATTTGCTGAGACCCGTCACATTGCACGGGGCCCCTCGGCCAGGCAGGGAGCCACCATGTATAATCCAACAGAAAACAAATCCTCTCCATCAAACACAGCATAGCTTTTTAATGCAGGCCTCTGAGCCCAGGCGCCGTACTGCGGTGCGGCGGCCCTCTGAGGCTGTGATTTGCCGATCCCCCCCTTTCTAAAAACCCCACTGGCCTTCAATGCCAGCCAGCCAGTCATAACCTTCAGTTTGTTTAAGCACTACTGAACCCTGTTGGTCCCGGACAGGGGGCGGGCGGGCTTAGATAATGACACGCCATATGCCCCTCTGCCTCTGCAGCCGAGTGAGCCGTGCATGGATCAACTCAGGCACAGACCTATTTGAAATGTAATTCTATTATCCTAACGTTGGCTAAGCGTTCATTGTCCAGTGTGGAATGGACTAGTTATAGGATTTAGATGATTCTCATTAATGTATGTGAAGGACCAAGGAGACAGTTTGGAGCCTGTAGAGTAGAAAATGAATCAACAAAGCGTCTTTTCCTTATAGCTAATGAAAAATGTGATTTACCGGAAAGATTTCAAATGAAAGATTTGTTTTGCGTCACCTTTTCTAGGTTTCATTCAGTAACGCCTGGCCCAAAATAGCTATATTCTTCGCTGCATCTGATAGGAAACCCCTTGGTATTTGAAAAGGTTTTGATTTCTACCCTGTGCGAATGAATACTCTCTACTGGCAATATCCGGCAGCCAGGCGTCACCCAATATTCCCATTAGCAGAGGGGGCTGGTGCCTCAGACCTCCACTGGTGGGAAAGGCCAGACACCAGAAACTCCACTGCCTCAAGTGTCTCCTCTTCAGTTCAACGTCATGTGACAGGGTTTAATGCCTGGATGCAGAAGCCAAACGGAGGGGATTTGGGGATGGGATGTATCTGTAAATCTGTCAAAATATTTCTACAAGAAATAAAATATGCTGGAATCACAGCGTGGCCGGGATGTTAAGCTGTTGAAACAACATGAAACATTTTCACTGGAATGTTAGGGAGGCTTACTGTGCAAATTAAGCCAAGGGGCTTGTTATTTTCTCCACTGAAATCTTTGTCAGCATTCAAAGACAGCAGCGTGTCTACAAACAACGTCATCTCATATTCACACTTAAGCAAGGGTTATCTTCAGATAATAACAGCTGTATTTATGGAGTGCAAATGATCAAAGAAACCTACATTTCTGCTTTGTCTTCAATATTTTTGTGTAAGCAATGTTGTTGTTCTTTTGTCATTCATCCTCGGGTGGCCAAAGTATTACATTTGAAATATGATGCATGTTTTTGGCAGTAGGTTATCGCTACAGTTCAGTGAAGCAGCTTCCCGCTGTGCTCTGGATCTCACAAAGCTGCTGTTTAAAAAATGGCCAAATTTACCACTGACGTCTAGAGGACGTAAATTAAACAATAATGACAGACTTCAAAGCCAAGATGTGGCTTCTGAATATATTCTTAAAGAAATTTATTTTACACCGCAAAACAAAAAGGGGAAGGGATTGGGGATGTGGTACATTGGGAATGTATTGACAACTGTAGTTTACATTTTTTTTGGTGTAAGCTCAGAGAAAAATGTTAATACAGTCATAATAATTGCACTTTATAAATCTAGACTGATGCCAGTTTTTCCCCCCATAACAAAGCTCCGACTCCCTCTCTCCAGTTACTAAATTCAATTTACCATTGAAATTTGACAGACAAAAGAAATGCTAATTTAGGACCAGAGGACTGCTGCACTGATCCAATTTTTCTCTTTCACTCAAAAGGCAATAAAACATTGCAGTAATTTAAGTGCAGTACATTCAAGGGAATCTCACAGTCATAATAAATATTTCACTGCTCTGACTCATCAAGTAGAGACTGGCCCGGGCTAAATGTGTCCCAACCAGGGGCAGAAACAGACAAGGGAAAGCAGTGTGCCTCGTCTCGTTTCATCTGATGCCACAGGACTGGGCTTGATTGTTTACATATTGCATTTGTTTGCAGGATCAGGGGTGACTTGCACCCCCAAACAGAAGTTTGATTTGTTCCCCCATCTTTCTGTCACGATGATAAACATTTGGCAGATGTAGGGGATGCTGCACTGCAACTGCATCTAGAACAGAGTCATGTCAGATCTGTCTGCTCTAGCTGCAGAGAATATCTAAAGCCTCTGATAAAAGGGAGCTAGATTAGCAAAATAGCTCTTCTATATTTCACAGATATGATGTTTATGAGACTGGGGAATCAGTGTTTCAGTCTTGGTGGTAGAAATCTTATATTAAAACCATTGGAAAAAAAAAAAAAAAGAAAAGAAAAGAAAAAGTCTGAGGATTTTGAAAAACACAAATTAAAATGCACACAGGTGCATGCACTCAGCCACATACACGCATAAACATACACGTAAGGTTATAGATAACCTTCCAATCACATTCTTCATTGTAACATTTCTTTATCATGTTCTTTTTTTTTTGCGAAATTTTCCTTTTTAAATAAGTATTTCAAGATGTATTGTAGATTCCAGTGTTGGTTAGGAAAAAGAGCTCTGTGACCAGGTTCTTACAGAACCAAAGCAGCGACTATGCCTCACTCCCGGACATTAGAAACTGCACATTAGCTTGAGGAGGAATCAAATGAAAATAACAAAAAAGGAAAATAATTAAATAAAAAAAAGCAATCGAGACACTTCTCCCCATAGCAGCCAATGCATAAAATATAGCTACAAATATATAAAACAAAAAATAGGTTCAAGTTTTTCAAGTTTCTTAAATATATCATATTCAAACTACCCAATTCCAAACATCAAAGTTAACAAGATTCAAGCAGTGCAATTTATGTATCAATTATAAACAGCCATAACTACTAATATTATACTATTCTTTTAATTAAACCCTATGATCCTTGTACATACACCCAAGTATAATTTTAGTCTCATGTATCAGTACATCGCATCTCTGTATGCGTTTGTCTATGTGTGTTTATATGTGTACTCTTAGATTTTGATTTTGAAAGCAGCCCTAAGCTTTGGCCCTTTAAGACCCTTTCAGTGACAACCTACACAGTAGCTTCAGCCGTAGCATTTGGAAGGGGATAGAAGTGCCGTGTGCACTTCATGTCAAGCTATGATTCTAATCAAAGAGTTCAGGCGAGTAAAACAACAAATGAACTGAAGAAAAAAACATGTATTAATTCAAAATTCCTATTGGCAAACCACACAATTGAACATCTGGAGAATCTTGAAATCCCTTTTTCTTTCCCATTGGCAAGCACTACCACCTTTCGTATTTGGGATTCCCACAGCCTGCCTCTAAAAGGTCACACAGCACAGAAAACTGTCTTTCTAAGCTCCCACACTAGTTAAAGCAGTGCCACTTTCAGCAAAATGTACCTAGAAAAACAAAACAAAAAAACATCTGTTCTTTAACTTTGATTTTCTTCACCAAATCCCAGCTGTTGATTCTCTTCTCTTCTTCCCACTCTATCTGTAAACAGGGAGGCGGATGTGTGCATGCTGGTGGTCTAACAGACGTGGCACAGACACAGTCTCGTAGCCTTTGCCAAGCATCTGCTCCTTGATGCAGGGGGGGTGGATGTCGTTGATCAGGTACTCCAGAGACTGCAAGCTGCTGCTCAGCACTGATGTGTTGCACAGGCTCTTGCTTGGCAGGCTGCAGCACATACCTCCCCCACTGTCTACAGCAGGGTGGTGATGGTGGTAGTGGTGATGGTGATGGGGGTAGCCCATCTCTCTGTGCCCCGTGACCGGTCCTCCTGTGGAGGTGGCAAGAAGCTCCTGGGGGTTGTAGCAGTCACTGTCAGGTGTCACCAGCACACTGTTCCACGGGGGAGCAAAATATTGACCCACTGAGAAATTTCCATGCATACCCACACAGTTCAAAGGGGAACTGCTGACTTTGTCCATCCCACCTCCTCCGCTGGCACTCACTGTCAGGTGGTACGGTCTGGAGGAAGAGGAGGACACTTGTGCCGCCACGAGTCCCCCTGGAACACAGGTTTCCGGGGACTTGCTGATGGCGCCCCCTCCTCCGCTACCTCCGCTGTACATGCGGAGCACGGCCTGATGATGATGCTGCTGCTGCTGCTGTTGCTGCTGCTGCTTCTGCCAAAGGATGTAGTCCATACCATCTGTGTACACTCCAGTCTTCAAAGCCTCAGCATTTTGAGCTGGCAGCCCAGGCCCTGTGTATACCATATTAGCGTGGGGACCCATTCCTACCACGTATCCTCCACCTGAGGAGCTAGAAGACACCCCCATGACAGTTGTGCCCTGCTTGGAGGGGCTGGAATTTGATGGTGCGGTGGCAGCCCCTTGGCACACCTGCTGCAGAGCCTGGGCCTGGCAGTGCTGGTTTATCTGGTAGATGATGCTCTGGATAGAAGGGAGGTTAGACTGTGCAGGCAGGGCCAGGCCTCGGCCCCCTGTCACAGGAATCACTGAGCCAGCTACAGTGACATTCGGGGGAACCGATAGCACGGGGCCCTCTGGGGGCTTTGAGGGCCCAGTGTGGTATACCATTTGGCCATGGCCACTTGCTAAAGTGCTACTATTGGGGGGCGGGTATGGGGCAACAGCTATATGGGCCGGAGAGACCTTAGTCCGTCTACCTTCTGAGTTCTTGAGAACACCTTTTGAAGGGACAAAGGCGGCTGTTGATGAGGATGAAGATGAGGAAGCCTTGATAATGGCCAGCAGGCCATTATGGCCCCCTGTGTGGATATGTGGATAAGGAGTATAGCGTTGCCCTGTGGTGTCATATCCATTCACAGTCCGATTAAGGTGCTTGTGCTGGGGAACCCTGATGTTGGTGGGGAAGATCTTGATGGACAGAGGGTTGTTGGCCGTCTTCTGAGCGAAGGCATCGAGTTCTGCCGCAGTGGGGTAGCGTGGGGAATGTATGGGCACCACAAGCTCACCTGCAAGAAAAAAAAAGAAAAAAGGTATGAGCGGGATGATCAACGTAAAATAAACTAGATGGATGCATGTGTCGTATAACAGAACATCAAACTCGTTTCATTACCAGAAATATCACAGGAGCCAACCGCAATAGAAACCACAAAGTCACATTCATCAATCAATTATAATAACTACTACTCTGGTGCGAGAGTAAAAGCCGGCAGCATTACAGTGACTACATCCAAAGCAGACCCAAAAATGTGTGGTCAATAAAGGCAGGTGAATGAAACCAGATGCAAACAGCGGGAACACTGCAGAACAACACAGTTTACAAAAGTAAATCAGGACTGACACTCATTCACGTTCCATCTTTTCTTCCATTTGAGCTTTCTTTCCATCTCACACCCTCCTGTGGAAGCTCTTCCCTAGGCAGATCGATCTTTTTTAAAACTCATTCTGTCAAAGCCTGGTACCTTAGGCGCTGTTAAATCAGTGCATTATGAAATTAATTCAGACTCTCTTTAGCATTGAATTGGGTTAGCTTTGGATACCAGGGAAGCCGGGACAAATGGGAGGGGATTAAAGCTGGTTTAATTGCAGTGGCACATTTGAGATTTATAAGTGGTATCACTTAATGGGTCTTACCCTTGGCCACAGCATTTACACATTTATTCAATCCAGGAGTATGTGGAGAGGCCATCACAGAAAACCCAATTAGACGTCCATCGGGAGTTACTAGCCTGGTTAAGGTGAACTACATCAGACTGGAACCAAGTCAAGAATTCTACCGTGCAGCTATTTGCAAACTTGGTCAAGGATAAAACTGAAAATTAGTCTGAAGAGGAGCACACATCAGGTTGAGATTGAATGAATCAAATATAAGACACGCACGCCAATGGTTTCCACTTGTGTGACCGACACATTCCGTCACACCAGTTGATACCACTAAATATTGTCTTTTCTATTAACGTTTTTTCATGCATTTACTTTACTGCATTTAAATACTACATGGCAGAAAAGACAAAAGAAAGGTGCAGAGAGGTTGCTGAATTCACACGTAAATGCAATGCAACTATTGCCATATGAAACCAATCCAGACCCCAAATTCAATTCAGCAGTAAATGCAGCAAGTGTGACTAGCAATGCCCCTCACTCAACGAGCCCATGCTTAGCCATTGTGAATCGAGGTGGCAAACAGGAAAATGGCAATTTCTAAAAACGCCGCCATGTGTCATTGTTTGGGGGTTGGGCATGGAGGTGAGAGGCCGCGGTGAGATTGGATTTAAACGACATTATTCAGGCAATTTCATGGCTACTTAGCTCGATGTAACAAAAAGGGTGGGGGCAGGGGTAAAAGAACTCAATTTACAAATAATATAGCAGCAGTTGTATGATTGCGACACCTTCAAAAATGACATTTTATGCATAAGCTAACCAAACGCGCAACAATTAACTGCCATAACAGTGGCGTCAGCAAATGTCCTGGCGACCTAAGGAGTCTGCAGGGTGGCGGCTGCGACTCGGACTCACTCCATTTCCCCCCGATTGCAAAATCATTTTGAAGAGACTCCACCGCCAAGTTACAATTCTCATTTCTTTGCTCCCATTAGAGATAGCATGGGGAGTTCATTTCAACAACCCTATGGGTCTCCGACTGTGAAAATGATTAAATCTACAAGATCCATATCAAAAAATAAATAAATTAGGAATTTAAGAGCAGAGGGGAGAAACTGAATATCATTACGTGTTAGACCGCTTCCAGTCAGTTGGATTCATCCTACAGACACAATCCATTCAGAGTCCTAAACACTCAAATTTTAACTATTTATATTATTGTATTCTAATAAAAATAGGGTGGGTTTAATGACTTGTCTTTAATTAGAGTGAGTGAACCTGGTGCCGTCCTAATGGGCAAAGCTGAGCTCCGGTCCAGCCTATCTAACATCGCACCAACTTTACTGAGGCAAAGCTCTGCTTCCCTGCTGACGGCAGTTCCATTTGCTTTGATGTCCTGACTTGCAGTAGAAAACTGACAGAAGACTTATTTCATTTGCTCAGAAGATAAAAACATGCTCATTTCATTTCACATTGCTGGTCCACATGCAAATGGAATGGCAGCATTTTTTCTGATCTTCTTTACATGAGAGCAAGAAAACCACTTTGATCATCACATGGTCTAAATGAGGAAAGATACTTGGCTTTCAGGCATATCAAGGGCCCGTGCCCTGCGTCCCTGCAAGCCCCCAGCTGCAATATGCCCATCATTCCACCTAATTACTGCCACAAGAGGGAAAAAAAAACATAAAAACAGCCAGGAAATTCATTAAAGGGTTACTAATTCTATTCCTTCGCACTGACTGGGTCCATATTTTCCATGCCCGAGCCTGCGTTTCTTCTTAGAGAGACGAGAAAGCCCTCTCCCTCGGTCTTCTCCCAGCTTGGCCCTTGTTTGTCAATAGGCAGAGCCTTTGGCACACCAACCGGGCATCAAAGGGTTTCACACTTCACAGGCCACAGGGATTAGAGGCCTTTCAGGCCTACAAAACCCATCTCAGCTCCACAAAGGCTTCCGGTTATTAGAACCCACAAGCATAAAAGAAGAAGAGGAGGAGGAGGCAAATGAGCATCTGGATGCTTCTGATTCCAGCTTCCTCAATGAAAAGTTCCATGGTGAACATTTTAAAAAGTTGATTACAGTAAGTTTTGGCCACAAACTGTGGCGTAATTTCACTCTCGTACATACAATGTTATACACTCTGTGTGTTTCATGTGCAGGGACTCCACATCTCTCTCCTGCAGAGCAGCGGGTCTATAAACAAGGACATGGAGGTTAAGGAAGAGGTTTTTTTTTTTTTAAGCTGGCACTTTGTGACTTATTGGTTGAGGCTGCAGTATATCATAGATATGAGCAGCAGCATACAGATGGTGCTGGCTGATAAACACCCTTTAATAAAAGGCACGGCCTCCTTTGTGTGAGCCCCCAATAAGGTAGGGGGGTTTCTTGCACCTGTGCACTTTCTTCAGTGTGGCCGTGCATGAAAACACACTATGCATGAAAACAGAAAAGAAAGGCAAATACATACACACACACACACACACACACACACACACACACACACACACACACACACACACACACACACACACACACACACACACACACACACACACACACACAAACCTGCATCTGCACTTGTGCGTCTCATTTGCCATCAGTGGAGCATGTTGTTATCCTCTGCTCAGCTCTCACTCATGAAATGTAGGGCAGGGACAACAACAGGTGCCTGTGCGGGCGACAGCCTGCAATGCCTCCTGGGCTAAATGCTTCACACTCGCTTCATTCCGACATGCGACAGCCTTGTAAGGATTAATTATTTCCCTGGGGATGGAAGAATATGGTTCTTCCCTTTCTGTGAGCAGGAGGCTATGTGCACTCCCAAGCACATGAAACTGCTTTTAGTAAATGAACGGAGGGGGGAAACCTGGGCTTGCACTGCTTCAACAATAAGCAAGAAAAAAAAAAGGTTCCACATGAAAGGACCATAAACAAACGATGCATTTGATTGAACTGCATTGGAGATGAGATAAAAGCTCAGGCAAACACATGCATTAGTTCTGAGAGATCACGCGGCAGGGAGCGGAGATGGCAAGGAGGCAATTAATGGGCTGACCTTCGTCCTTAATCACCCTGTGCCTGGCACACAATGCCCATGTGTCAGAGCAGCACATCTCTAAATGCCACCCCTCATTAGCACGATGCAAGTAGTGAGAACAGCTATCTTTGCGCCGTTGCACACTCTCCAGTGGTGAGACAGAGATAGAAAGGCTGGGAAGGATAACATGGCAGCACGGAGCCGGACGGAGCTGCAGTAGGCCATGATATGATCTAGAAATCCCATTTTACTCGGAGGACGGGTATACTCTCCTTTCTCTCCATTTTTGATTGGCATGAAACTCCCCAAGCGCAACGTCCTTGGTGTACCCAGTGCTGTTACTGTGATTGCATTTGTGCTTGTGTGTATGCACGCACGCGTGTGTGTGTGTGTGTGCGTGCGTTTCTGTGTGCGTCTCTGTGCATTTGGTGAAAGGGGTACCCAATTCTGAACACTCAATTAACACTCATTTAATTAGCCAGCAGTACTTTTTGAATTCTGATGAACTAATTTTCTTGGTGAGAGGGTGGAGGAGTGGTGGAGGGCTGGTGAAGATGAGGTCCACTGGGTAAAACAGCAATAAAGAGGGAACTGGTTAGATTAGACTGTAAAATCCATTAAATTCTGCGCTCTTTTTCCGAGTGAGAGGTCAAACTGTGTTGATCACAAGAAGCAAAGGGAGACAGAGAGAATATGAGAGCAGGGAGTTAGGTGAGGTGGAAAGTGGAGGGTGTGGGTGGGGAGATAGAGAGTCAGAGGCTGAGCGAGAGTGCAGCACCAAATCCAGAGGACCATGAGAATGCTTTGCATTTTAATTAGAGGTTTAAATGAATAAGCAGAGGGAAAAGTTGGAGAGGAGTGCCTGAAATGCCCTTGCACCCATTTATTAGTGTTCCGACTGCTCTAAGATTAGAAGCAGGGTGGAGAAGTTTCTTCTTATTAGTGCGGAGTACGCTCAAACACATCAAAGGACCAGCGCAATGTCCTCACTTACTCCTGCAAACCTGTAACCCTCCTTGCCTCATGTTTTGTTTCCACTGACCGTGTATATTAGTGAGCAGAGGAAACAAGGGGTCGTTTTAAATGAAGGGAGAGGTCAAGCATTTGCTTGAAATGTAATTAAGTTTTCACAAAAGAACCAGTTGGTCAAACAAACAACAGTAACAGAGATACATTTAAAAAAACATGCGGTCAGCTTCAGTGCAACATCAGCCATCACTTGGAGCCATTTCCCCCAGAGGGGGACAGTGCCTGTTAAATGTGTGTGAGCTGCCGTATTGATCATGTGACTTTTCAACCTTCATGCTGCTACGCTAGATCGGTCTTTTTTTTTTCCACAGCACTTTTTTTTTTTATCAGGGATGATT